TTAAAGAATAAATAAATCGAACGTGAATAGTTTTGAAAAATAAACTCATCCTTCGCTGGCATTTATCTAAACAGCACACTGTTTCACCTACAGAAGGCAGGAATGAAAATGTCAAAGCCAGTCAAGATTAGAAGGCTAACACAGACCTTAATTAGTCGAAAATCGGTGTAGAAATCTGCTGCGCGGTAGTGTCAACTCAGTTCTTCTATATGATTCAGAGACTTCCTCACCGAAAGCACTTCCAACAGACTTTGATCAACAGCCTGCCTTCCCTCGCTCCATACTGAAGATCAGATGGCTGGCTGACCGACTGGCCACAAAAGGGTTAGCAACGAAGCTGTCAACAAGTTGTCAGTCGAAGGAAATGGATCGAATAAACACTGAGGAGATCCTTGATTCATATCGCGCGTCAGTCTTTCAAATGAAACCCAAATGTAAAACAGCAAGTTGGGCTTCTGAGTGTGATACGGAGGAGATGAGAGTTGATTAGACAATCGTTCAGCCAGCTAAAATGGACTATAAAGACCAGAATGAAGTCAGAGTGTGCTGTCTAAGGCCTGTGTGTCACTCCAAACCTGAAGCAGTATTGACAATTAATAAACATTAGGTGGTTGGAGACAATCGTCAGGTGGCTGCGTTTCCCTGTTTCATGATTACTGCCATCCCTGAGCAAGACGTATTTATTAATAACCCTACCACGGAGAAAATTTATTTGATGAAGTCTCACAGTGTTATAAAGTAATATTTACTGATGACGTTTCGAGCATAATTTTTGCTCATAATGATGTCAGGTTGCCAACACCACTTTCCGACCTATATATATTTTTTTATTTCCTTCACGTTCCTAGTGGAACACAGGGCCTCAAGCTAGTAGCTTGAAGTTTCTGTAGCAGTGTTTATTTTGCAGGATGGGGTTGCTAGCCCATATGCCCAACCTTTCCTCTTTACCAGCATTATTTCTGGCCTAGAGAGGTAAAGGAGTTCGTCGGCCGGGGATCGAACCCCGGACCATCAGCATGGTCGGTGAGTGTCCTAACTGCTGTGCCACCGACGCACACTTCGATTATTTTCCATCTCTTTATTTGACTGGTAGTAGTACTTTCCATATCTTTGGTATTGGTGACGGGTCATTCCTGTTATGCGTGTTGGGTGTAGATTCGATGAACAAAGATTCAGTAATCAGTCTTTCTCTCCATATTAGTTTGTTCACATGGTGTGAAACAGTATTATTTACTGGATGAAGTTTCTAACAAAATCTATTGTTCATAATCATTTCATCAGCTATAATCACACGACTTTGAAACTTAAGTTTTATAGTCTTTCTCTCCTATTTATATTACTTTTTAGAATTGTAACTCTATCCCACCCCATGTTGTCTTAATGTATGCAGTACAATTGCCGAGTTTTTATCTAGAACACTTGCCTTCCCGGGGTCACATATTCTACTCTGAGGTATATCTTATATTCTGACTATCCCCAATCTACTGGTTTGACCAGTGTAGTTGACCTCACAGTCATTGCAAGGTATTTTGTAAATTATATTACTTTATTTAATTTTTCGCATCGATTGATTGAACTGAAATCCTCAGTTCCTTGTGAAGATGCTTCAACGATGTCTGGTCATGTAACTTGGAGTCAATTAGTGGATGGTGACACTAGTAGCGGAATCTAGGATGCACATTTCGTCCCACTTTGGACTCATCATCTGGATGTACCTGGATTCTCCAGTAATTGATTATTATTATTACTTTATCTTATTTGAGTCAGTAGGGTCGTTTAATCTACAGAGCTTGTCCCTGAGTGAGTTTGTACGTTTGAATGACACCCTAATTCCTACTTTATGAATAATCCTACGTAGGGTTGCAGATGTCTCCTCCTCATATGGTAGAACTTTAGATGCCTTACGTTCATTCGTATTTATGTCATCATCAATAGCTCCACTATTTTCTGATCTTCCTGATGAATTTTGTATGTTAGTTAGTGATATGTATCCATATATATATATATATATATATATATGGTGATCTCTCTCTTTCTGTTGCTCTCTTAGTCTGTGACCATTTCACCTTGATGAACCTGTCTCCCTTATCAATGTATATTCCCCTTATATCATATATAATATGTGTTTGTTGACAGTCCAACCTTGGTGATATATATCCATATAATATGTGTGTTTGTTGACATGTCTGCTATATTTTGCTATGTATATATGGATCGATACTCCATTATAATTAGCCAATCATGTTAAGACTGTCTATTGATTTGTTCACACACTTGTTTGGACATTCATATATATTTTTGCTCTCACTCCTGTGTGACACTTTTGATTCTTCCTTGTGTTTTGGAAAATAGAAATATCATCGCAAACCTAGCGGTCTTCTGATTTCCGTCTTTCTTTCGTCAGGACTATTAAATTCTCGACCAGTACATAACAATAATTTGGCGACGAGTACATAACAGTTAGTTATTTAACACCAACGAATTTTAGAAACGAAGTCAGAAAGCTGTGTGAACACCTTGGCTTGATCATGAGCTACAAATTGTGCTCGAAACGTCATCAAACAAATTTTCCCCATAATGGAATATTAATAATAATACTTATTTCAGTCATGATTAGTAAGTGTAACGACTTCATTGGGTAACAGTTTAGCTATATTTGAAATTTAATTTTCCTTTGCACATACCCTTCGTTTTGACTTCCTCTCATGCATACACAATATTATTTAACAATATTGATCTTTAATTTCTCCTCCTCTGCAACTGAATCTATTCTCCTGCTATTCAATTTTCTCGCAGAAGACATTATACACAAATTATATAGTACTTACAGAACCTCGTCAGTAGCATACACCACAGTGCTAGTGGTAGTATATAATAGGATCCGAGATTTGCGTTGCGTCTTAATAATATTCAGGAAATATTATAAACCGTTGAAAGACACGAATCACATTGTGGAATTTCCTCAAGATGTGTACAAGCATATAATCAGTTCACTTTTTTGCATCCTATCTCAGCTACAGTATAAAGCATTATAGTACGGATTGACATACAAAACTATCCCTATGAAAGCAAACAAAATGGAAGTCCAGTCACAGCACGAACACATCTCTGATTCAAACCCCTGTAGTAAAGATAACCTGGACTGGTTTAAAGTTAAATTGGGTGGACATTTCTCACCAATATTCTAAATGCTAGAATACACCAGAAAAATGGTCTATCAAAAGAACACCACGCCGCACTTAAGGAATTAATCGAAAAAGATAATCTTTTTATCCTGAAACCTGATAAGGGGGAAGGCGTTGTCATTGCGAATAAATCAGACTATCAAAATAAAATGAATGAGATCCTCAAAGATCAGTCCAAATTTCTGATGGATAGTACTACTTGTAATGTACTGCTTGAGGAAAAGCAGATTAATCGTTTTATATATGAAAAACTTTATAAACAACTTAAAACGTCATTGGATTACATACTCCCTGGCTACTATGGCCTTCCAAAGATTCACAAACCTGGGAACCCGTTGAGACTTGCCTAAGATGTGTCATATCATAAAGTCGCAAAATGGATTACAAAGGCCACTTATCCCAGTAAGAGACTCATTATCAAATCGTTCTGTGAAAAGTCCATTCGATCTGACTAATATGCTAGACACACCGAACATTGAGGAGAAGGTTATGTGCCCAATCGACATAGAATCTTTATTCACAAATGTTCCTCTTCATGAGACTGTCGATATCACTTGCGATTACATCATAAGCAATGGGATAAACTTACCTATTCCTGTCACTTACATCAGAGACACTATCTTAATGTGTACAGAAAATATCAAATTCACCTTCCACCAAAAGGCATACAAACATATCGATAGTGTTGCGATGGGCCCCTGTTAGCAGATATATTCAAATTAGATAAACAAACGCAAGGTATGCCAGGAAAAGTTTTGCTATACAAACGTTATGTAGATGATACTCTCATTATTGGTAATAATATTAAATCTATTGAAAACTTTATTACCCTATTTAATCATATTCATCCAAATATCCCAGTGGCTTCCGAACTAGAATCGAATAACAACCGCCGTTTCCTGGATATTGCTATGACTAGGAGAGATGATGGAACGATTAAGCGACCTACACTTCATAAACAGACATGATGTGGACAATATCTTCACCAGTTTTCTTCCTGGTGAACAGTTTGTTCTCAAGGGCCCGGAAAATATGCACGAGTGACACATTGATGGATGAGCTTCGGTATATGCATTCAGTTTTATTAGATAATGGTTATCCAGGGAACTTTATCAATTGTCACGGCAAGGATAGACCACATCTTGAAAAGACAGCTTCTGTACCAAAGAAAGCTATCTATATTAACCTACCATTCAAAGGTGATCAAATTATGCAGTTGACAGCTCAAAGACTTCAGTCAGCCATCAAACGCACACTCTACGCCACATCTCGAACATTTCCGATCCCTGTACCTACGATTAAAGGACAAAATTCTATGGACTCTACTTCAAACTGTATCGACAAGTTCAACTGCAGTTGCAGTGACACCTACATAGGTAGAACCAAAAAAAGAACATGTTCCAAAATGGCTACTAAATCATATAGAAAATCCCAACGCGATTAATCTGAGTAGAAATCCAGCATCATCTACTGCAAAACACTTATTAATGTCACGTTTTAAAATCAATATTAATGACTGTTTCACAATTATTATTTCACATAACTCTAATTCAAGGTTATTGAAGGTGATGGAAGCATTTTGGGGGATTAATAACATACAGCCTAAACTGTGTGTACAAAAATCAATAGACTTCAATCTTCGCCTACCCTGGACTACATGACCTATCTAAATATGATTGGTCATTAGTATGTACTTTTGTTTTTTATTTAACTGAGTAATTGTCATGAATTTTATTTTATTATTATTATGAACTATGTTAGTTGTAAAGTGATGGTAGAGAAACTATGATATGAAGAAATAATCTCGCGACATTTGTCTTCTGAATGTTTTATTGGCATTACAACTATCAAATATTTTCCCAATTCAAAAAATTAAATACGTATTGAGATTATTATTGATTTATTTATTGGTCGGTTTGCAGAACAAACAAATTGGTTTGTCGAATATACATATACATACAGATATATAAACTGTAGGTATACACTCACACACACACGCACGTACGCACATATCACAGTTTATAAACATTAATGTAGAGTAAATTATTTTTCACAATACATGTATAAACAGGCATACATATCACAAATGAAGAAAACAGAACAAATAAATCGATAAGAGAAAAAAACCCTCAAAACTAAATAACAAAAGTACAACGAAAGGAAGGAGAAAAAATAAATAAACAAATTGTGAAATGCTGAAATTTGTTTTGTTGTTGTTATTTGAAACAATACATAAAAAAGGTAATGAATAGACAAATGAATAACCGAAGTACACAACGATAGTGGATAATAATGACAATAGTCAGCTATGATTGGTTGGTTCATATATCACCACCAGCAACTGATATCTACCAATCAGAGAATGAGAAAGTGGTCAGCCTGATGGCTTATGCACTAATCATCTCTTTGTAGGTAGGTAGGTCACTTACAACACATTCATTCTCTGATTGGTAGATGCCTCTTTCTGATGTTAACGCGACCAATCAGGGCTGACTTGTATGGCTTCATCCACCAATGGAGAAGGAGAAGAAAAAACAGGTCGAGTTATAAAATAAAATGTACAAACAATATCACGATTTAGAGCATTATAATTATTCCTATTACTTCGCCTACTAGTAAAATGAGTAGTTTCACAACAGTTTTAAACATTAGAGTATAAACGAAAATGGAATACAGCTACTGAGAATCAATATGACACAACAGGTATGTTGTACTTTGACGAAGAACAATTGATGAGACACTCAGACAACGAACACAAAGACCACTTACTAACATAAGATACAAGACAATAGGAGATTATATGTGTATATGTAAAGATAGAAAAGTGCACAAAATACACAGTACTTAAATTTACGTTTATGTATGTGTGTGTGAGTGTGTGCATCGGTCTATCTATGAACAAAGAAAATAAACATGCACAATGGAATGTAATTTGAAATTAAAATTGACTGTAGATAGTGAGAAAAAACAACTGTTCACCAGTTTATTATCGAGTAACAACACACCGACGACAACTGAATATGAGTATGCGAAAGATTGACGCACGCAGACACAAATGCACACACACACGCACAGTCTTGTCTTGGAAGTTGAAAGAATCACATACGTTGAATTTCAAACAAGCGTACATTTGTATCATACCAAATAGGAGGATTAACATTCCTGTAAAAATAAAAAATATATAGAAAAAAAAACAAACACATCAGGGTGTGACATAGGTAGAGATGTGATTATGATGGGATGCCCGAGTGATTCATATTGTGATGGAACAAACACAAAAGTATGCATAAGACTTTATACGTTTTGAATCTATCCTAGATACTTTTTCCACACTGTCTTCAATGAGAATGAGAAAGACTTTTGCGTCAGTATACATGTGTACTTCGATCTGCCTGGCATTTCAACTCAGTGAATAAGTACATAAGAAAGCACTTGTTTACATACCACAACAAAAGATGTCTAAAGAGTATAAAAGCCCGATATTACATTGCTATGACTAAATGAGAACTTCGTGCAGTAGCGTGGCGTGTACTACTCAGAGGATTTATCAGTAGTATGCGGATGCAGACTGATTGGAAGCAGCCGAAATCTAAAGCGACACTTTAAATCAATGACTGGCTGCATAGGCGTAAGTGTTTATTCCCCAAATCCGGGAGTAGCTTACGTTGTAGTCAGCAAAATAAACTCATTGGATAGCTTTTAGTTTCAAGGTCTACTCTTCGTATAATCGACAACCAATCAAAACACAGTTTATTATCCACTGAACATAACATAACAATTTCGCTTTTATTTCAGAAACAGTACTTGTGGTACAGTGTGGAATTTTCAGCGCACATCTACAATATTGCATCTAATTTCATCGTACATTTAAAAGGAGTATTATAATATATATATATATATATATATATATAAACAACAAAAAACCAAACAAGAAACAGAAATAACAAAAAAAATGCAAATAAAAATACCAAATAGAAAGGAAGATAAAGACCAATAATGAATAATATTTCAGTATTTGTTAGTGGGAGCTATATGTGTATGCGTGGTGAACAGTAACAGCTATGATCACACAAGAAATTTTGAGATGTTCTTAAGAATGTTTATAACCAAGATGATCAGTTAATTTGATTGAACTACACTAAACAATCATAAAATAAACATTTCAGGGTTTTTTATTTTTATTGTCAGCACTAATGCAGTGTTTGTTGTGGTAGTGTGAGTAATCCTGCATAATATAAAATTTTTAAGATGGTGATAGTGGCGTTCACAAACAAGATTGTCAGTTAAATAGTGCCGAACAAAAAACAACCACAAAACTAATATTACATGATGGTTAATGACAGGACAATTTTGTAATAATCATAGTGATAATATAGTCGGACCCAGTAGATATACAAAAGAAGGAATAGAGTAAAGTACAAAAAAGTAAGCCAATGATAATAATTTTAGGTAGCTAAGTATGTTTAAGAAGGTTGTTCACTATAGAGTACAAATAAGAGAGTATACGGGGGAAATAACATGGGCCAACATTATGTTATTAACAACAAAGCAAGTCATAGGTTTCACGCTTAACATTGTCTCTGTCACTTAGAACACGGACCAAATATGGTATCGTTGAGTTCCTATACTTGGTTGTACAAGCATATACTATTTTGTACTGATTTCTGGTTCTACCTGATGAGATGCAAGGAGAGAGGTGGGAATAGAGGGGATGTTGGGGTCAGAGAGTATGGTTTTAGACCATTTCTCGCATGTATTCAGATGATTATCCACTAATGTAGTGACGAGCTGACTGAGTTTTACACCGCTAGTCCTACTAACTACCTTCAACATCCTTCTCAGGATGGTATACTCCTTTTTCAGTAACCCAGGAAAGACTAACGGGGAGCAGTAAAGTAGGATACGAGAGTTAACATATTGTGAAAGCAGAGGTTGAGGGACTCCAGTTAGTCTGAGTTTCTTAATGTAGTAGGTTAGACGAAACACTTTCTTGGAAATCATTTGGATATGAGATGGCCAAGTAAGGTCGGAAGATAGAACTAATCCGAGGTATTTCGCATTTGACCTAGTTTCAATTTTAGTCCCCTCAATGCTTCAGGCTTCATGAGTGCTTACTAGTGTTTATAGATCTCGTTTATTCCCAAAGGAAAAGTCAATATTCTGGCATTTTGAGGGATTCAGCATGACTCAGCCGACCTCAAATGTGTTTAAGAATGTATAATTATGATGTGTTTCTTCTTAATAGGAAAAGTTCATTACGAAGTTCACTGTCTTCTCCCGTTACAACAGCACACGAATGTAGAGCAGAAAGACCAAAGCAGAACTATAAGCTCATATGAATGGGAGGAAGAATAACTGCATGGTACATAATGCGAAGATTTAATGGATCTGAGAGATCTCAAAGAGCAAGAATGTATCAGCGCCAATGAGGACGATTTCGAGCTATATTATCAGCAACAATCAATTTAGAGGAGTAAAGAGAAGCAGTCGCCACCTCCCAACGTGGCTAGCTCAAACTAACAGTCATAAACTTTGTACACTGATTCCATGTTTTGATATGACTACCCCTAACATTTTCCAACATAATCATCTTATAGGTTAATTGGTGGGTGGTGACTAGCAGTGGAATCCAGGATGAACATTTCGTCCCATTTGAGACTCGTAATCTCGATATACCTACATTCCTCAGTGAGTCAGTGATGATGTTCCCACCGAGCCTAGAACCCATGGCCCACAGTTTCAAACGCTAAAACGTTATCCACCAGACCACCTGAGCCACGACAGCCACCTCTTATGCAACGGGTCATAATAATTATTTATTTGAATTTTAGATTTTCCCGTAGACTAATTGGACCGAAGTGGTCTAGTGGATAACACTTTAGCGTTTGAAACTGTGGGCACTGGGTTCTAGGCTCGGTGGGAACACCATCACTGACTCACTGGGGAATGTAGGTGCATCCAAGTGACGAGTCCCAAGTAGTAAGGCTGAATGAGCAACCTGGATTCGACTGCTAGTCACCATACAACAATTGACTTCAGGTCACATGACCAGACGCCGTCAAAACACTTACACCTGAAACCTAGCACTTTGGTCCAATCAATTGACAGGAAAATATAAAATGCAAATAAATTATCATCTTATGTTAGTTCACATTGCTCGATGACTGACTAGGGCGGTGAGCTCGGTATGGTTAGCAAGTGTGCTCCCAAACATCTCAATCCTTGTAGCTTCAAAACCTCAAGGATTGATTTACCTTCCATACATAACACTCGACCGAAGCAAAAACAAAAACGCACTGTATCGTCCCACCTCGATACTTCTCATCAGTGTGTACCAACGGCCCCTACCCAACAAGCGGTTGAATCCTGGACCTTCAGGTAACGAGGCCGAGTTTGGTGACCATTCAGCCTTCCTCTGTTGACTTATGCATTCTTATTTAATGATATGAGAATTTTGCATACCTTGAAGAAAAGCTGACTGACCGAATTTTTAACGTAGAACTAATTACTCTGAACAGAATTAAAGCAGTACAGCTATACTCTCTTCCCATACTTTGTGAAAGGACATATTAAGAAAGAAGAACGAGAACATAAATACAAAGAGACTATATTAAATGGAAATGTACGAGGGAAACAATAATTGCATAGAGATTAATGCGAATTCGATGTGTCTAGGAAATCACAAAGACTCAGTGAATGCATCAATACATCACTGAAAATAATTATCAGCCATGCCCTAGGGAAGTAAGCTAGGCTAACTGACCGAGTGGTTTCAACATAGAATTTAGACAGAAGTTTAGGAGTCCAACTTGGCACACTCCTTGTAGTACACAAAGGTAGAGAAAAGAGAAACAAGGGGAATCAGAAGAAGAGAGAAAGGATAGTAGTAACATGAAAACAACAATCCGGTTGGATGGATATGAGAGATCACAAGGAGCGAATACATTTCAGTCAATAAGAATGATTATGAGCCATATCACCACCTATCTTCAGCCTTCATTGTGTCATAGAATCCCGAGGTCTTCTAATCAGACAGTTTACACCTATCTACGTGAATTAAACCAAGAGTCGAAGATTTAATGGATTGATTGTGGATGGATTGTGTTTAATTTGAGCACCCCTAACTCTTTCTCAAACAAGCCCTAAGTCAGCTATCATTGTACATCGAAGAAGGAGATAGCTAGGCGTGTGCAACACATGTCCTAACCATCACTCTCAATCGATGTAACTTCACAACTTCATCGATTGATTTGCGCTCCTCAGCTAACACTCGATACCTAAACTATTATTCTACTGAACGTGGAAGATGGCACACCTCTGATCAAAGACAGCTAGCCTTTTGACACCTACTACTTTCAATGGCCATATCTTACAGTCATAAAGGAGGATGGAGCGAACTATCGAGCAATGCACACATCCTTTGATCAATAGCCAGATATCACGTATATGCCAGCAAAAGAATTGATGGATTCACGTCAAGGTTTTCATTTGACCACCCTCTAACAGTTTTCTAACCATGTAACCAATCAATCAAATCCCTACAAACCTATACCTGAATATCAATCAGATGCTCACTAGCGACTGGCCGCTCTATTCAAGTAGGTAGTTATCTGGGGTTCTAGTGGGAAGTCATGACCATCAGGTCGGGCATGAGGATAAATACTCACCACCGATGACATTGGCTGGTAGTCGCGCTATGTCGCGAATTGGCAGAAGTTGGAATTCACGGGCTGACCATTGGATCGGGTAGGTCCCAGTGGCTTAATGGTCTACGAGCTAGCTCACCTTTTAACCACAAGGTCCTGGGTTCGAACCCTGGTGGTGGTTGTGTACTGTTGAGAATTCTCAAACTAGGACGAAACAGGTGTTCAGCACTCCCCGGCAGGTTTTCCAATGGTTTTCTAACCGATGTCAGCTCATTATGAAATCCTGTAACTAAGCCAACATTACTTGACAAGACATGCGTAACACGTGTTTTAGCTATCATCACAATCGACACAGATTCACAATCTCATAGATTAATACATCTCGAAATATGACGTAGTATAATACTTGTAACCTTGCATGGATGAGGAAACCTGGTGAAAATGAAGTACTGATATAAACACATTAATTAACATTTCATATTTAACGAAAGATTACAGTCAGCAAAATAAAAATAAGAAAGAAAAGTTACCTTAGATAGATTAATCCCCATAAATAATTACGAAACCATATAGTTGTACCAATATTCGATTGATATTTCCGTATTAATATTGGATGCGGGACGGGCAATAAACCAACCAGTGTACCATTTTGAAGAAAACGAACAATCTCAGTTTCATCTGTTAAACCCCTAGAAATCGTTATATTTTTTTTAAAAAAAAGTGAAAAGATGGTTGTTTAGCTGAAACCTAAAAAACAAACAAACAAGTTCAGCAGAAAAAAGGGGAAACTTCAAGTAAACTTTAAAAAAATGTCGACTATCCAATAGGAGCAGTGTGTTACGCTAGGTTAGAAGGCGAAAAGGAACTGCTATTACGATTACTCGGTGTAATTTGATGGATGGTAAGAAGTCGTGACCAGTGAGAGGCATGCAGCCGGGAGTAAGGATAGATTTTCAACTGATGACATTGGTTGATGCTAGTCGCGCTAAATCACGAATTGGTAGAAGTTAGAATTCATGGGCTGGCCATTAAGTCGGGTCCCAGTGGCTGAATGGTATACGAGCTCGCCTTGTAACTCGAAGGTTCTGGGGTTCGAAACCCAGTGGGTGCATACTGAAAATGAGTCTCAAACGAGGGCGAAATAGCTTTCCAGTACTCACTAGTTTTCAATGGTTCTCTAAATGATATCAATCCGTGATCAAAATCGGTAAAAAAAAAACAAATCAAATCCTCGCAAATTTCAGCTGACGAGTCCTTCCACCGAAAGTTATGAATTCAGTTGTTGATCATTCATCTCCTGCGTGCCAAAAGGAAAACCGTAACTTATAGCAACCCACCCATTCAACTCTCCTTTATGGATGGTTTGCGTGTGACTTCACTCGAAGGTACCATCAGCATGTAATTTCAATCCATCCTCATTTTATCCTGCATATTTTTTTCTGGACAATAAATAGGTTCTTGACCGATTCTCTCCTAGAGTTCTTCGTTGCGTAACCTTTCTGCCCCGTCATCTAATATTTCGTGCTATCCAGCGGAGGAATCTGTTGATGCAAACGCGAAGCCTGTTGGAAACGCTTTACACAACACGGCAGATAGCTAAACCACATAGAAGCACTAACTTGACATGAGTAACTTTGTTCCCTATATCACATACTGTGGATATCCAGTTGGAAAGAGGATGGCCAACTAAATGATAGACAAAGTGAGAAATAGTTTGCGAGGAAAATCAAACCGGAAGCGTGAGAAGGCATCCGGAGGACAATTAATCATATCCAGGGTCATTAGAAAAGACAGAGAATTTTCAAAGCTCACATCATATTGAAGTTAGCCGCGAAGAATATTCATCTTAGATTTCCCCTGGAAACATTATATGATCTGCTTGATACCATAAATGGCTATCGAAAAAGTAAGTGCGATACCATGACATAGCATGGGTAGTTGGAAAATCACTCACAGCAACCAGTAGTGCTTGGAAGCCAGCAAGGGAGTGATTTAATTTTTGATTTCCAAAGAAAACTATGGTGAATCAGCTGTCTAAGTAGGAGATCAAGCCAGGAACACATCAGTGGTGAGCTCACTTCCAAATACGTGAAAACGCCTCATCCGGTGCGCAGATCATTTCTATCTGACTAGCAAGCACTACACTGCTGTCTAACATAAGTGGATCCCAGTTACTACTCAAATAAATCAATACTATACGCCATTATAAACTATTTATTGATTTCGTTTGCAGAAAAAGAAGAAGGAACTCACTTATCAATACACATCTTTTCAACTTGAGGCACTAAAACTTGCAATAAACGCATAATTGTCTGTAAGGGCATTTTCGCCTTCCAACTACATATCCAATCAGTCGTTGGTTGCCAATTGGATGAATGCAGTAAACTATCTGATGATTTTGTAGACTTGACATCATCGCCTAATAGTACTATTGGATGAGATGTATGCAATCCTTCTTCTTCATCTTCTTCTTTACTACCAACAGTTGTTATTGTTGATGTTGTTGCACCAGAAGAATGATGAGATTTCAGATTTGAGTTTAACGAAGACTCTAAAACCTCTTTCGATCGATTTAGCCTATTCAACTGTAATAATAATAATAATAATAATAATAATAATAATAATAATAATAATAATAATAATAATAATAATAATAATAATAAGGAAACTGAATTATTCATTGAAAAAACAAAATTAACGACAATTTGGAAAATGATTGAGTAAAGAATTTCCTTTTCGATAAATTCCTCTTCTGGCTCTACTATTACATATATATATATATCCTTCTCTATAATCTACCGGGTGTCTAATAAATTTCCAAAATCATAATCGAAGCACCGCATGTTCCAAACAGCAGAGGCTTTTTCGATTCGCCTCGAACAACCAGTGCTCTGTGTTCAAAAGAAGTAAGTCCAGCCAGCCACTAGCACTACTGTCCTGGCCGGCCTTCAGTAGAGACTATAAATTCATGAATTTGTAATATTATCTTTCCTAATTTTTCTTACATTCAGCTTATTTTATGTTGATGCTATTGAGCTGTAGTCTATCAATATTATTGATTCATTCACTATGATGTATATATTACTGTAGAGCCTGATGATGAAGTTTTAGAAAACAATACTCTTTGTTCAGTATCCATTCTTTTGAAAATTTTAATGGGCATTTTTAATCAGTTATATGTATGTTTATATGCATAAAATATTCTAGATGAGTAGTCGAATTTCCGAACATCACCCTGCATGGTGGTTAAGCAAAGGACAAACAAAATCTATTCGCAGAGCTATTCTATCTCATCTTGTGAACACAGAACACAAGATTGACGTTAAACAGGGTCATTCATTTACCGCATACCTACGAATCTCAATTTAGCCTTAAGAATTCGACTATTAAATATTGCTGAGGCTGGCTGTTGGGATTCCTATTAACAAGCCTAATTTGTGCATCGAAAATACGTTAGTTGAGACATTATCCTTACCTTGGCCATGTAGGTTCGAATGAACTTCAATTTTTGTGGAATATCCCTAATTTTAGTTGATATTCTATTTGCTACTATATCTTTATTATTATAATGATGATTTAAGCATCTTTAATGAACTGTAATTCCACTGCGATCTTACTTTATAAATCGATATTATTCAAAAAAAACGCTAATATTGTTATTGACTACTAATCTAGAATATTCTATGTATATAAACATGTATATATAATTGTAGAGCCAGAAGAGGAAATTATCGAAAAGGATATTCTTTGCTCAACTATTTTGTGTTTTATAGATGTCTGAATGAATATTTCTGCTATAATGTAATTTGAAAAATGAAAAAATGTATTTTTAAATGCATAAGTTTTTATTGATCTCTAACTAGTAATATTTACATGGTGAATAAACAAACAACAATGCCGGTGTAAACGTTTAGCCGAAATGACAAATAAAGTAGGAAATGTGAGATAAGCACAAGAAAAGACAAACAGACCGAGCTATCACGGTATAACAGAGGAGAATAAATATATGATTCAATGGATTATATCAAATGGCAAGTAAAAACATTCCAGCTTCGACTCAATTTTAGGCAATTAGAGGAAATATATGGACCAATCAGTGAACTGTCTTACGAAGCAAACACATTACGAAGTCACAAAGCGTAACTCTGATCGTCGCATTATTCCCTCAACACTTACTGCAGCTATTTTATTTATATTCTGTTTTGAAATTCTGTTTCCTTCGAAGTCTCAAGTGACATCACACACACCCCAGCCCTTGTGTAGAACCCGAATGGGAAGCCATGAGTCCGGCATTTTTCAGGACGACATGGAGAAGGTTATGTCAGGAGGGAACAGAAACTTGTGATTAGTCATGAAGACAATTGAAAGTGGTCACCGATAGCCGAGTGGAGTAGATGTACCGCCCAGGCGCCCTCAGTTCCATTCAAAATGAAAGGAAGCAATAATATAACTGCATGAAATTCCACCTCTTCATATCCTAGCAGCTAGACACTGTGGGACAATACAACACCAATTTGAAAACACTGCATTAAGGCATTCAAACCTAGGATTTCTCCTCCAGCCTCCTTGGAAGCTCCTGCTAGAGCGGACTGTTTACTTTATTATTATTATTGTATCCTTTAGTTCCTAGAGGAACATAGGGCTTCAGCTGCGCACCTCCATTGCCTTCTGTTTTCTGACAACTTTTTCACCCCGCTCCAGATCTGTGCACATGCTTTCATCTCCTCCTCGCATGACCTCCTCCAAGTCACCCTTGCACTGACGACCAACTCGCCGCCTCCCTTTCGGGTTCCACTCGAGGGCTTGTCTAGTGATGTCACTTGATGGTTTCCTCAGAGTATGGCCAATCCATCTCCATTTCTTCCTGCCTATTTGTTTCACAATCGGTTCCTGATTGGTTCGCTCCCAGAGATCCCTGTTGCTGATCTTTTCTGGCCATCTGATCTTGAGTATTGACTGTTTACTTTACATAGTTAGATATATTATTATTATTATTATTGCCTTTGGTTACAAGTGGAACATAAAGCTTCAAACACACACACACATCTCGATTTGATCCTATTCCTTCCAATCCTTTTTAGCTGGCTCCACACTTGTCAATAATCTTTTATCTACTTCATTTCACCCCCTCGGACTAATGCCCAACTTATTGTTTCGCATTTGGCTTCCAATCTATCAACCGGAGCATTTTCTGTGCAAATGTTGGAAAGAATACTAAAGAACCCCATACAAATACGACAACCAATGGCATATTGATTGAATGAAAAACAGAAACTTCAACGTAATTTTTTCTTAAACTTACAGAACAACTTTCTGACATTGCAGTTCCATACGATGAAGAAGACTGTTCATTATCATTATCACCATCATCATCGATTGATTGTTTATGAGCATCTTTGTTATTATTATTATTATTATTACTGCTACTGCTTGTATTACTATTATTCTCATTTTCATTATTATTATCCACAGGTGTTGATGAGATACGTTGACCAGGTGAAGAATGCGAAATTAAATTATTTTCAATTTCATCATTATTATCATCACTATTATTACTGTTGCTATGCTTGTGATTATGATGATTGTTATCAGTAAGATTCGAGTAATATTCAGGCATTTCACCAGCATTGCCTAAATGTTGATCAGTCATTTTGTGTAATGGTGGTATATCTGCTAAACTTGTTTGAATTATATCACCTGATTTAGCGTTTATATTGACTTCATTCAGCTATATGAGAAAGAAGAGAAGATAATATTAATATGCTGTGGAGTGTGTGTGCTACTGACAAGATTTAGATAGTAGTATATAGATTCAAACATAAATATGTATGTCATCTGCAAGATTATCGAATAATGGCGGGGAGAGGCATTTAATTGACGGCGCTTGCCTCAAAACAAAAACATGGGGGAAATGAAAGGAAGACAAAGAAGCATCCATACGGAAGACAGAGTACAGCACAATACCGAAGATATGTGCAAACTGTGATTCTAACATATGACAAACGTAATTTGCTTACATTTGTGTATCGATTTGCCAATAAGTAATTCGTGGGCCATTGGATCGAGTCCCAGTGTGCGTCGGTGGCACAGTGGTTACGACTCTCGCCCACCATGTACATGGTCCGGGGTTCGAGCCCACGCCGATGCACACCTGATATCTATGGTCGGTCTGCGAAATTTGGGCTACCAATATCCAAGGTGAAAATTCCATACTTGTACCAAAAATACGGTGTGGAATCAAGCTGTAATCAAAGGAAAAATAAAATATAATAAAATAATGGTCTACGAGCTCGCCTTGTAAATAGAAGGTCCTGGGTTCGAACCCCGGTGGTGGGCACGTACTGCTGAAGAGTCCCAAAGTAGGACGAAACAGCTGTCCAGTACTCCCAGGTTTTCCAATGGCTCTCTAACTAATTTCAGCTCATGATGAAACCCTGTAACCAATCAAATCGCTACAAACCAAGACTTGAATAAGTAATTCTGTTAACAAATACTCTTGTAATTACAATACCACTTTTAAAATTAGGCGTGAGAGAAGCGTAAATGCTAGGATTGTCCTTTCAAACTGTATGTGTGTGTGTGTGTTGTAGAGACAAAGAAAGTCGTATACCATGGGAAGCTTACCAACACTTAGAAAGCTGCCAGGTAGATTTAGATAAACTGAACCCACCCCCCCAATCACTGCTGCTTTTAATCTGCAGTGGAATTAGACAGGGTTGCCTAATCTCCCTCATTTCTTTTCACCTATATGGTTGACGACATTCCAAACGATAGCTTCGAAGGATGCAAAACATTATATGGAGGAAGAATTAAAACTTTTAGGATGCAGACAATATTATTTCTTACAGTTAAATCTGACTTCTGTGTCTATCTCAGTGTGGAGGAATATTTTTCAAGTGAACAGTTGGTTAGATTGTCGTGTCTGGAAGCACATTCTAGGCAAGATAAACGATAACCACAACAACAGTAAACACTCCACTATAACAGTGCGATAACATAAAGGCTACTCATCAAATAGCACTTAATCAGTTAGCGATTACTATCTGTATATAGGATATGAGCTCTGAACCTCCCAGATTGAAGTAGGTGAAACAGCATCTGAACCATGGCCCCACAAGCTGGAAATTCAGTATTTCGGCCGATGAACCACATCTCCGTCAATATAAAAGAGGCAACGACACAAACGTCAAACTTCCTGAATTTCACATCAGTAATGATAAACATATAATACTTAGGCGGTGAAAGGTTATCACGATGTCACTTGGTTGATGGTGGTTCGCAGTGGAATCCTAGATGCACGTTTCCTCTAATTTGATACCAGTCATCTGAATGTGCTAATTACTCCAATGAGTGACAATATTCCCTTACTGAATCCTCAAACCCAGCACCCATTGTTTCAATCCTCCAAAACAGGATCCCACTATTAGTCATTATTAATTGAAGGGTATGTACTAGAAGACGGCATATTAACAGAAACCAAGGATTTTGGTCAAATGAGAACTAATCAACGCGGAATACAGATTAGGCAAAAAAAACCTCTGAAAAGGCATAGACATTCACAAATAAGGGGAGACTTTAAATATGCCATTATACTAATAAATCTGTCGTTTAAAAGGAGATAATACATTCTTTAAAATTCTATTGAGTCCTTAGTGGAACTTAGGAGGGCTTCAGGTTTCAGTAGCAGTGGTTTCACTTTTATGGGGTGAAATTGCCACCATGACGCCCAATCTGCCCAGGTTAGCGGGTTTAGGAGTGAGCACTTCAGCAGGAGATATTATAAATAAATAACACTAAACATTGATGGAAAACTTATCTTAGATAGATTCGAAAATTCAAGTAATTTTATACACTCAACAGAACAGAAATACAAACCTGAGAGGATACTTGACCAATAGACTCAGTTGGAGTTGATGGAGGTGTCCCGGGTAGATTAGATTCCATAGACAGGCGATTAGACATTTCAGAAATCGGTTGACCTGTAGAAGAATCAGTCGACTTTCTAATTTCACCCACGGATACTCTTGAGGTAACACTAGCACTACTATCTATTGTGGTATAACCACCACCACCGGCAGCAGCAACCCCTTGTTGTGATGATTTGATTTGCTTTTTAACTACACTATTTATACTGGCTTGATCTGTAGGTAAGTTGGCTAATCGAAAGAATATTTGACGCTTTCTAATTAGCGTGTAAACCAAATTACTATTACCTAATAATAGAAACAACATTGGGAGAAACGCACAAAAAGAAGAAGAAAAGAAATCAAAGTGTGAGAACTACAAAGAGATGATACGAAACCGGTTATTGAACAAAGAATGTTGTTTTCGATTAGCCCGATATCAGGTTCTACATTTATATCACCATGTTATTAGCAAAAATTAATAGCGTTTTAAATTACATTAAATCAATAGTTTAGTGGAAATTCTTATGTGCTAGGGCAGCATTGTTTCTACTATAGGGGAGTCGCACTGATGAGGATATCAAAACCGGAATTATAAAGAAAAGATAGACCTCCACCACCATTCTGAAATCAATCGGCCAATCGTCTGTACTCAGCATGTACACGATACGGATTCTAGACACAAATGAAAATTAAGTTATTCTACATGGCTTAGAAACTTGGCACGTCACGAAAAACATCACAAGCCAACATGGGCCGGACAGTTTATCAACTACAAGAGCTTTGTCCCACTGATCAGAAGACGAAACCTGGTACGTACATGGTGTTCAAGGATTAGAAAAATCTGCTCGGAAGACATGGTAGAGAAAGAATTAAATTTATTGCGTGAAACCCTACTAGAGAATGAGTATCCACCAAGATTTATCGACAAAAACATGAAGGAGAAGCCTCCGGTGTCAGACATCGCAATGGTTGCTGAGAAAACTCTCTTCATGCACCTAGAATTCAAAGGTGATATCGCAGCGGAAATTCTCAGAAACCGCCTTTCTAAATGCCTGAAGAAGACATTTCCAACAGCCACCCTACGTATCATCATCCAATCTAACGCTAAGGACAAGATACCGCGTTTGGCCCCTTCAATGTGTATTTATCAACTTACTTGCTCGTGTGGAGCAAAGTATATCGGCCGTACGCAACGTCAAGTCCACAAACGTATTCTGGAACACTGTCCAGCTTGGTTAGCCAGAGGAGAAAAGAAGAATAGCAGGAGCTCCATCCTCGAACACCTTATCATTTCCGGGCATCGAGCATTCCCGCATGAATGCTTCACAGCGATACACAGAGTCCCACAATATCGTACAAAGGAACTTCGGTTACGTCATCTGTACATAGCTGAACCGTTAGCTATTCGGGATCTGAAATCGGACCTCTGCATTTAAAGGGGATACATACATTCCCTGGCCCTATCACGGCCAGAGTAAAGTTCTTACTATAATTTTGCTTCTTTCTTTTAATATGTAAGTTCACTATTATTATTATCAATACTTTTATTATCATTATTATTCCCATCATCCACATTTTATTACCACTCTATTACTGTTTATTAATAACATTGCTTTTTCATATAGATTTTATATAAAAACACTTTATCGCCCTTCCACTAGTTCCTGTCCATTTTACACGAGCTTATTGATTAGTCATTATCTCACGCTTATTACGTCTTACACCTTACATTACGTAATACAATTTTTCAAGGACAAAGTTTACCAGTATCTGATTAGTCTAAAGATTTCTTTGTTTAATATAATTACGATTGTACAGCTCATGAAAATGAATCCTCGAAACGAGAATTTTCTTCGCTGTTTAGGCCTTTTTCTTACGACTCAATATGGGAATATTTCATTCATTGAAATAGCACTTCCAACAGCTACTGGCAGACTTTCATCAACAGCTGCCTTCGCTGCCTACATATTGACACATCGAATGACCAGAAAGAATCAGCAGCAGGAAACTCTGGCGATGAACAAACCAATTAAGAATTTCTTGTCCAACAAATATGTCGAAGAAAATGCGGACGAATCGGACACACAATGAAAAGACCATTGGATGATATGGCGCACCATGCCATCGCTCGAGTGGAATTCGAATGGGGAACGACGAGTGGGTCATCGGTGCGGTGACATGGAGGAGATTGTGTGAGGTAGAGATGGCAGACTATGGTCAGTCGCCAGGTCACCTAAAGAGGATCGCAGCAAAAAGAACAAATTGGAGGTGTTCTGCTGAAGGCCTATGTCCTACTTACTGAGCAACGGGATTCAATCGATAACCAGGACATATATGTGCATATGTCTATCTACTGAAATGTGCCCAAATAGCATTTAAAAAAGACTAGTTACCATTACAAGCGTACGGATGTTATGCAGTTAGCCAAAAAGAATTTACATTTATTTTTTATTTATTTAAACTTGGTACAATACGGCACCACACAATAATAATAAGACATAGATTAAAAGTAATATAAGTGGAAAACGGATAATAAAACTTCATCAGAAAGGAAAACAGTCATGCTTAACAAGTTAAAACAGTATTCGTTAACTATCATCGGGAAGGGAAGAAAGAAGGAATTTGCAACACATTCGCCATTGATTACGATTCTTGGCCATATCCGATAACGTTTCGAGCCATCGATTTGAGCTATCTCGCGGACCCCAACCACGGAGTCGTGACACACCAACCGATGCTAATCTAGCACAAAAATCCTTCATCCCACGACGCCACGTCATGCACTGACCACCCGTCCGCCTTTTCCATCCCGTCCCAGGGCTGGCTAGCGAACAGAGACCTGTACGGAAGCCTCTGGGATGACATTCGCAGCATATGTCCAAGCCACCGGAGCCGATATTTCCAGATGACGACACTCAATGAATGGTGATCCCCACTGTGTTCAAACACACGCCGCCGAACCTCAGAATTACTCACGCGATGATGTCATCGAAAGCAAGCAATCCTGTGGAGACAGCAATGATCGAACACGCAGAGTCGCCTCACATCCTCAGCTCGGAGAGGCCAGGTTTCACAGGCGTAGAGCAAGACAGTCCGCACCGAAGCATTGTATACCCGACCTTTGACAACCAGGCTAACGTCATGACGGCACCATAGGTGGCTCAAGTCAATATATGCCACCCTAGCCTTCATTATACAGTTGGAAATCTCATCCGTCACCCCTCCGCCAGCACTCACACAACTTCCCAGATACACAAACTTATCGACAATTTCAGGCGGTTCACTTGCAAGAGTGAGTGCAGGTATAGGCTCCTGCCAATCTTGTAACAGTACTTTGCACTTAGACGGCGCAAAACACATACCATACTTACAGCCATTGATCGCCAACTGATTAAGTGCGACTTGGGCAGATGTAATATTTTTTACAGATGTTGTAATATTAACGACAACACTGAATCACAATCACAACGTGGGAAATATTATCCTATTTTGAAATTGATTTAATTCTTCACAGTGAAATGGCATTAACTTTAGTAGAATACATACAGTGACATCAATTATCCGCCTACCAGTCAAATGATGTGAATAGTCCCCAGCAATTCGCCGCTGGCTTCTTTACAGCTGTGAAAAGTGGTCATTAAATGTGGAAAATATGAACAGGCTAAAAATCTTTGACCACAGATGTTTGCATACTATCTCTTATGTTAAACGGCATAATAGGGTGAGTAATACTGAGGTTGGAAATCAAGTGTTAGATAAGGAGGAAAAGAGGATCAGTGGAGTTGTTGAACTATATCTTTTGAGATGTCTGGGATGTGTTACGCATGCCGAAACAGTAATTTGTTTTACATTTGAGACTTCATATCTTCCATACTTGTTAATGAACCTTTGAGGGTAACATCTTTTCAAGAAACATAAATTCTTCCTCTAATTTCTCTATAGAGCATATTCTCCTCTCTCTATAGTACAAAGTCTTGACTAGTCCGCGTTTAAAGCTATTTGGACAAAAACTATTAAAATGTATGTATTGGCCTTTCCAAGTAGGCTTTAAATAAATTGACTTCTGAAGACTACCGTCTTCTAGGCGTTGCATGGCAATGTCGAGAAAGAGGAACTTTCCGTCACTTTCATGTCCCATAGTAAACTCACTATTGGTATATGCGTCATTTCCTTTGCGTTTGCATAAATCATTGGATTTTGGAGTTACAACACCACACCAAATCACACCATCACCCATTGAACACAGCTCAAATAGAAACACCGATAAGCTATGAATACCTCAAATATTTCACGGAATGAGTATGAGTATGTTAAAATGAATACTAGGTAAACAAAAAAAGGGAAATGACAGGCGTATACACACGTAAACACACAAATGAATATAAAGATTTCTCTTCAACCAACTAACTTACCATCAAATTGATATTGGACAATGTTATTAAACACTTCTAGTAATAAAAATACTAATTGGTAGTTAGATGGACTACTGTACAAGAACCATGGTTGACTGAATGCATCTAATAAATGCAACAGTTTATTTGATGATACCATTGACAAGCTTTTCAAGTAGGGTGAAACTATTCAAGGGGAAAATTTTGGAAAAAAATAACCAAAAACAAAAAATAGTTTATTAACTGAGTAACTAATACAAATAATAATAGTAGTAGTGTGGTGAGAGCTGTCTGCTAGCCAAAATTGGTAGACAGCAATTTACGTCAATGTTTAGGTCCCGAATCACGGTCATGAGAAAAAACAAGAATAAAGCCTAACCTTGAGGAACTCACCAACCAATCACAGTAGACTTAACATGTGCGAATACGATTCACAGATATACGACTTAAATTTCCGAGAAACGGTCACAAGCAGTACAGAATAACCTCCAGGAAGAATACAAGCAATCAGAAGACATTGCTTCTCCGCTAACAATAATGTACATAAAAATCTATAAATATCACTTGATTTTCTCTATAAACAATCTGTTGCCTGGCCCTCATCTTCTGTTATTATAACGCCTTCTTCTGTCTATGAGTCAATGTGAATCTTTTGTTCAACTACACAAGAAACTATGGGAATAAACAAAACAAGAACCAATCGCCAACCAACAAATATGCAGGAGAAAGTGGAGATGGATTGGACACTCGCGGCTGAGGAGGCCACCGCTGGGTGACATCGCACATCAGGCCCTCGAGTGGAACCCTAAAGGGAAGCGGCCAGTGGGACGTTCAAGGGTGACAGGGAGGAGGTCGTGTGAAGAGTTGAAACAGTATGAACTAACATGGATGCGGGTGAAAAGTACAGCAGAAGGAAGACAGAAGCAAGTGGAGACATGCAGTTGAAGCCCTATGTTCCACTAGGAACCCAGTAATAATAATAATACACGAATCTTAATGTAGCAAAAACCATGTGATAAACAAAGTCTTGAGCAAATTGTGTACGGGCTAGAATATACTAAGACTTTAGTTGATTGTATAACAAAAGTAGAGAGAAACGTGTTTGCATAAAAACTACTACTCATATCAACTTGCTGGCGAGCCAGATCCAGGTGATCTAAACACCAAGTGCCAAGTTCTATGTTGAATCCAGACAGACAGAGATCTAAACACCGGACGGCCGTTTCGATCGACCAAATCAGGCAAAATCACCCCATTTTTGGCTGGCTACTCGGGTGGACTGATGACAGGAAGAAATATTCAATGGTTGGAGGATTTTTTTATCAAAGAAGACATTGCGAAGTGGTCGCCCTATATCATGAATTGGCAAAAGTTAGAATTCAGGGAATGGCCACTGGATCGGGGTCCCAGTGGCTTAATGGTCTATGAGCTAGCTCGCCTTGTAACTAGAGGGTCCTGAGTTAGAACCCTAGTGGTGGGTGCGTACTACAGAAGAGTCCCAAACTAGGCTGACGAAATAGCTGCCCAGTACTGTCTGCAGGTTTTCCAGTGATTCTCTAGCTGACGTCAGCTCATGATTAAAAAAATCCTCCAACCAATCAAACTAAATCCCTATAAAAAAACTAATACTTGAAGAAAACTTTCAATGCTTTCGAAAAATTAAAATAACACTAATGTACTAAAAAAGTATACATAGATGCATTAATTATCTTTGCTTCAGAATAGACAGTGTACACAAAACACTAACACCTACCGTTAGCTATGATTGTTAGTAAACAATCGAATAATGGATTCAGACGATTATGACCACTTGTGATTAGTTTATGTGAAACCTGTGAAAAATAAACCGGAATGATACGAAAATTATTGTTGTTAGTCATGGACATAAAAGCAGGCGTTACAAAATGGTAGTAATTAGTAGTTGGTTGGTTTGGATTCGGTAACGCAGTTCGAGGCTATGAATCGTACACATACTGTGCGGTGGTTGATGTAACTATCTGAAACAGATGAGGCAAGATTCGAACCTGGGACCTATTGGTCAAAAGTCAAATGCTTATGCAAATAAGCAACATCCTCCCTTCATATGATGATGTACCAAATGACTGAGAGTCAGTGGACCATATAGTAAGTTGGATTACTGGAACACTCGCCAACCACGCAAGTGACCCGGGTTTCAATCTCCGACCAATGGCACTCTCTTAAACGTCACTTCCCCGGTAGTACGATCATTAAAGAAGGAAGGTTGGATGTGAGGTTAGTAACCACAGCCCGTGAGGTAAAAACACCACTGCCACTGAAACCACATGTCCCCACTCGGAACGTAAAGGAATAAAATAACTAAAAAAAACAATGATCCAGTAGTTATTCATTAGATTTCAGTAGAACCGAACACTCATTGCAGATCTTCACAAGAGCAGAACTATATACGGTCTCATTCTATGGTGCAGCCGCACGGATGCTATCTCCGTGTGGTGGACCATTTATTAATGTATGTTTGTGTATATCATCAGGATAACTTCGTACTGTGTTCTACTGACTGTGAGAAGAATTACACAGCCGTAAATTAGCGATTTACAATCTCACTGGATAAATTTCCCCCAACAATGGAAAGACATCAGGAGTAACATAAGAAAGTTTTCTTAGCCTAGAATTTAGGAATTATAATCTTGACTAAAAGGTTATGGATTAAAATTAGCTTTATCAAATTTTATATAGTCTTTGTCAACTTCCTATTTGCCAACTTAAGCAAAAACATTCGTGCAGAGAGGGTGCTTATCGACCTTTAGAGTTTTTGTCAACTGTAGCCTATCACTGATATAAAAAGGTTCAATAAACAAATTTCCAGTCATATTATATTAGTCACTACTCTCTTCTCACAAATTACTGGTCCTATAGACGACCTGTTACGGCTGAGGGTGGGTGGGTGGTTGGACTTCGATCTTTCTCACAAAATGTCCTCATGTAGCCAAGCGTTTATAGCCTCTGTCACATAAGCCGTACTCACCGCCTTCATGTGGAGAGGTTGTAGCTCACGAAAGTAAAAAAGGAAAATAAGAACATCTGGCGCTAACAGCTGAATTGGTGAACATGTTGGTTGGTCTACCTGGAGGGACTGAAAATCCCTAATTCCCAACCTGTGATGTGCACGGGCTCTAGAAACCGAACAAATAGAATGGCGCATGAACCTGTTTTGGTCACTGGTGGCCATGGGAACGAAGGTCCTGAAGCCGTTTCACTGTCTCACAGATCGAACTTCAAGTCAAAGATTCGGGAGGTGATCCTTTGATGATAGGCGCCTGCGCTTTATCTCCCGTGTGAAGTGGTATAGTAAGGTGAGCAATATTGAGGTTAGACATCGGTCGAGTGCTAGGTAAGGAGGGGAAATCAATCGACTAGGCTGTGAAGCTACATCGACTGAGATGGTTAGGACATATGTTACGTATGCACGACTAGCCATCACCTTCCTCGACGGGCAATGTTAGCTGACATAGGGTCAGGCTGGAAAAGAGCTAGCGGTGGTCAGACCAAAACATGGCTTCACCATTCAATGAAATCCATAACACTTAGTTTAAGCCACGTAGGAAGGTGTAGACTTCCTGGCTGGTTGGGGTCCTCGGGACAATAAAAACCAATGGTTGGAAACAATTAGTGATATGGCTCAAAATCGTTCTCAATGGCCGGCGCAGATGCATCCACTCCCTGTGACTTATGATTTCCAATGAAACTGTTATGTTCTTCGTTATTACTATTCCTTTGTCTCACACCTCTGATCACTGTCTCTATTATGCATTTAATCTACTTTCTTCTCTTGCTCTGTGTGCTACATGGAGGGAGTGTGGCGACTTGAACTGATGCACATCAGTACAAAGTTCTATGTCGAAGACAGACAGACAGACATGATAAAGTAATATCAGAATATATAATGTCTACTTAGCACAAGTGACAGATTATGCACAGGTCAGTGAATCAGTTTATGGGATAAATGATTGTGAGTGGACTATAGATCGAAACGTTGGCATTACAGCAAAAATATGGATCCTATTAATCCTCTCTTTTAAACAAATAACTATGATCAAATTTTGATTTTCCCTTGAGTGACTGGATCGATATGTTCGTCCTCTGTTGACATTTTAGCTTGTAGTGTAGATGCTTTAACGATGACTGAGGATTAACTTGAAGTAATTTAGCGTCGGTAGTTCAGCGGTAAAACGCTCGCCATCCACGCCTCATGTGGTCCGGAGTTTGATCCCAGTCGATGCCCTCCATAACTCCATTAAGCTGGTAAAGAAGAAAGGTTGGGGGATGAGGCTAGTAGTAGAAATAAAACCACTGCTATCGAAACTTTAAAGCTCTAGCTTGAAGCCCATGCTCCACTCGGAACGTAAAGGAGTAAAAATTAAAACTGGTGGATGGTGACTAACAGTGGAATCTAGGAGGAGCACCTCATCAGTTAGATGTACTCAATGGGAAAACCATCAAGTACCAAATAGGACGTAATGCGCACTCTGGATTCCATGACTAGTCACCAGCCACCAAATAACTATAATCGAAGTTCACAAAGAAGAAGACGGTGTATAATTACTTACTATGACTAATAAATCGGCGTGTGTTCCAGTAAACACTGGTATATCTAACAAAGAACGATGACGATAAGGTTTATTCAGTCGAACACCGAAATTCCTTGTCCCGCTAAGCAATAACAAAATGAATACACCAACGTGTATCAATCCAATACGTGCTAAAAATTAAAAGAACAAGAAAACAACAATCCCATTCAATAGGCTTTTTTATTTATAGATAAACAGGCATAAATATAAGATTGGGCATTACTGTAAAGGTTATGAGACACGCTTGTGGTATGAGAGCTGATGATACTATCCTAACCCTCCCCAAAACCCTAAGTCGCTCAGACTGAAAAAAGTGAAATGGGACTTGTTAGCTGAAAGTTGGACGCTTGAGTCAACTTATCCTCACATCCATTCTGTATAAAGCAAAGATGCTCTACTTCTTGTATTTCGATTGTAGTGCACATCTTCCAAAGACAACTGATGTAACAACGTTCCAAGCCACTGGTCGGCAGTATATTTTGCTCGAAACCGCATACACTTACTGTTAACAGACAGAGGAAAGCTAAGTGAACTATTGAGGTTCGGAAAACACTGTCTAGTGATATAATTATACATACGTCCCTCACACAGCTGGTCCCTACTTACTTCACACTAGCAAATATAATTAATAACTTAGAGCAATATACCTATAGTTTTTCCAATAACCCATACTAGGGGGAAACCGGCACTTTCGTTGGCCGAGTAATGAATACTACCGAATGGAAATCTGTTTGCATGGTTGTTTTCATCTTACTGACTCTTTTTGTTGACATTGTTTATTGTATACAACACGACAATATAAGGGAATTAGAACAACCCATAGATACTGATATAAAAAAAACAACAACAGAGTAATCTCGAGCAAACTGAATATTCTAGCCGTCGAGATGTTGACTGGGCAGTCTTTCCAGTTTCGTACATTGTACGAACATTCCACGTCCAAATCCTTATATTTTTGCTTTCATCAAAAGAAGGCACTTCGGTTTGACCGGCTTCCCAAAGGCTTTCACCAACCTGCATCACTTCACTTCCCCGATTCCAGAGAAATATAAGGTTATTTATTGTTCATATTTTTAGAATTTCTAATATATATTTGTGTGTTGAAGTTTCTGTAGCGATTTGGTTAAGTCCTTGGGGGGGGGGGGTTTGCTAGCACAACGCCCCAAACAAAACAAGAACTAATCGCCGCCCAACAAATATGCAGGAGAAAGTGGAGATGGATTGGACACTCACGGCTGAGGAGGCCACCGCTGGGTGACATCGCCGGCGCGTCAGGCCATTGCTCGAGTGGAACCCGAAAGAGAAGCGGCCAGTAGGACGCCCGAGGGTGACATGGAAGAGATCGTGTGAAGAGGAGTTGAAACAGTATGGACTAACATGGATGCGGGTGAAAAGTGTAGCAGAAGGTAGAAGCAAGTTGAAATGTGCAGTTGAAGCCCTATGTTCCACTAGGAACCGAAGGGAACAATAATAATATAATACAAGATGTTGACTATATGATACTTGAACAGAATTTTATGAATACAAGTAACATAATTCCTTCAAATTTAATGAATGTTTAATATTAGGTTGTTAATTTCACTTTCAGACGGAAACGTTATTCACATGAACTGCTTCGTTACCATGATTCTAGTATCACAGGTGGTATTGAAATTGAAACTAAGTCGAATATCAAGTACCTCGAATTAAGTCTTCACTCTCATCTTCCTTGGTGTTCACACATCATTCTAGTTTCTAGAAAGACAGTTCGTTTAACCTACCTTCCTTGATTACACATCTACATTTGACTCTGTACCTAGGTCTCTCTTGCTAAGTAAGCTTGCTGCAACACAGGCTGAGAGCTGGACAAATAAGTGGCTGCATTACTATTTTGCTGATAGGAAGCAGTACACCGTCTACAATGGAAAGTCCTCCACTACCTCACTTACTTTAGCTGGTGTTCCTCAAGGTGCTGTTCTTTCTCCTTTTCTGTTTCCTTTTTTCCTACATGACTTGCCACATTCTGATGTAGCCACTTTTGTCAAGCATGTTGATGACCTCTCTGTTTCTATGCCTGTCAACTCTCAATCAGATTGTTCCAAATTAAATAACTTCCTGTCGGAAATTAATCAGTGATCCTCTTCAAACGGTCTTAAGCTGAATCCGTCTAAATGTCAGGTAGTCAATTTCACTTTTAGACGAAAACGTGACCTACAACAACTAGCTAGCTCATACGACCCCACTATCATTGACGGCATAAAGGTTGAAAATACATCTAATGTTAAGTACCTTAGGCTGAGTTTTTCCACCGATCTTTCCTAGTCTTCCCACATCTTGCTAGTTACTAGAAAGATGTTTCGCTTAACGTTCTACATTAGGAAATTTAGGCATAAAGCAGTCTTTGCTTTCTCAGTTTGTAAAAACTTGTATTCTACCCATCCGCCTTTACTGCTCCCCATGAATCTTTCCTGGACTACTTAAGAAAGACTTTGCTTGGCTGAGAAGGGCACTAAAAGCCGTTAGTAGGGCAAGTGGGATATCGTTAAACCAACTGCTTAACACTATTGTGGATAGACATATTATACCATGTAAGAAACTAGCGAATACAATATTGTCAGACCCCGAGAATCCTCTCTATACGCAGCTCTCTCCTTGCATCTCATCTGGTAGAACTAGAAGCAGCTGTAGGAGGTTATGTGCTAGGACTACCAAGTACAAAAACTCCACAATACCACATCTGGCACAGCTGTTATGTGACGAGAAATCCGCTAGGTATGACACGATCAACTTACTGCGGCACTCTAACAAATAGTCCCACTAGTTTTTGTTTTCCTTTCCTTGTTACTATTACACTGTTGTTCTCATCGTCTATTACACGCTAATTTTATATTTCATATCCTGTGGTGCACTGTTTAAAATGTAAACGCAACGCTGTTCTTTTTATTTTTTTTTATTTATCTTTTTTTGGGTATTGCTTTTTGATTTTAAAATCTTATAAAATTTATGAGGTAATTAGATGCAATATATTGTAATGCACGCTGAGAATTCCATACCTGTACCACAAATGCTGTTTGAAATAAAGCTGTTATTATTATTATTATTAAAGAAGTTAAGGCAATTCGGGATCACTCAGTCTCAACTTGTATAGTTTCTTAATTCATGTATTCTATCTATTCTTCTTTATTGCTCCCTCCCCCTACCTCAATCTCCCCTCGGGCTACTTGAGAATGACTTTATTACACTGTGAAGAGCACTAAAAGCTGTCAGTAGGGTGAGTACAGTTTCGCTACACCAACTGGTTAATACTGTCGTAGATAGACACATGGAGGCGTGTAAGAATTCAGCGCATATTATCTTGTCGTACCCTGACCACCCTCTTTCTACATACACAACGCTGTCTCCTTGTAGTTCATCAGGTAGAAATAGAAGCAACTACTAAAACAGACTATATGCTCGGGCAACTGAGTGTAAAAACTCTACAATACCTTATTTGGTACAGGTTTTGTAAGACGAGAAAAGTGTGTAAGGTATGAAACTACTAATTTAGTGAGAATCATAAAGTACACAGCACTTTTTATTCTTTCTTTCATTAACATATTCTTGTTAATATTTCCACTTAAATTTTAATTCTATGTTCATAGTCTTTAAAACCGTAAGGAGGAAATTCGATGCAATATTGTACTACAGGCTGAAAATTCCATATTTGTGGCAAAAGTAGTGTTTGGAGTAAAGCCACAGTTATTATTATTATTATTAAATTAGATCACGAATTGACGTTGGTTAGAGAATCAATAAAAACCAGACAGCACTGAAAAGCTGCATGACTTCATGACTCTGCACCAAGGATTGAACTCAGAACCGCTAGGCTACAACGTTACGGATCAAGCCCATTGATCATTTAACCACTGGAGCGAAATCCAATCAGGCTAATAAATCCTAACGTCTGCCGACTAGCGATATATATACATACACAAACAACCGACCGGCTTCGTCTATCGCGAGTACCTCTGACTTGACACCCATTTTTGATGGGAACCCCCTGGTTTCAACATAATCTGATGATGTGAGTAATAAAAGCTTGCCTTACAGAAATGCTGAACAAATATGATATTTTCAAGTGTTGGTTTTGTAGAGATTTTGTTTGACTGATTGGAGGATTTCAACATGAGCTGAAATCAGTTAGAGAACCACTGGAAAACCTACAGGAAGTACTAGAAACAGCTGCTTCGTCAGTCTAGTTTGGGATTGACTCTTCAGCAATACGTACCCACGACAAGGAGTTCGAAGCCTAGGACCATCTGGTTACAACAAGGCGACCTAGCTCGTAGAACATTAAGCCACTGGGACCCGACCCAACGGCCAATGAATTATAACTTCTGGTCGTGCCATATCGTGAATTGGCAGAAGTTGGAATTCATGGGCTGACCATTGGATCGGGTAGGTCCCAATGGCTGCTTAATGGTCTACGACGAGCTAGCTCACCTGGTAACCAGAAGGTCCTGGGTCCGAATCCCAGTGGGTGAAGAGTCTCAAATGAAGCTGACGAAGCAACTGTCCGGTACACCCAGGTATTCTCCAGCGGTTCTCTAACTGATGTCAGCTTATGATGAAATCCTCCAACCAATCAAATATGATATTTATTCAATAATGAGTGAGTCACATGTCCATTATTGATTATCCAAAGATATCTTTTTAAAAAATCAGTAGAACTTGTTTTACTCTTCACACTAGCTAACTACTAATCGACATAATTCTGTATATTCATGTTGAAACAAGGTTGTCGCTATACACACACAGAGACACAGTTTAGAAATAAAAAAAGAGAAGGAGCAAACACCAAATGAGAATAAAGTATGTGTGTGTGTGTGTGTTAAACTTACATTGATCATTACGTGAATTATTCAAATGATACAGGATAGGTACAATTAAATCTAGTACATGACTTGATTTCAACACATAATACATAAATTTTTTATTGCATTCACACATTCGCCAAAACAGCACTAATAATTCTTGGTGCATTTGAATTTTTTTACTTGATCCAGGCAGATATGTTTGTGTTAAAGGATTATTCAACAGGCGAGTTAATCCTAACAGTATGAAGGCAAAGTCCTGGAAGAGAGAGAGAGTGTGTGTGATGAAATGGGATGGGTGGAGAGTGAATCAGTTAAGTAAAAAAAAAAGAAAGATTCTTAGGCTTATTATACAATATATTTCAATACGAATAATAAAATTAAAAATAGAAAATGAAGCGTAAGATGATGAAACCTTATCATCAACCTGAAAGCAATCTGGAAATCTTCGTCACTCAGCCAGCATCAACAACAAAATTCGGTCGGATTTTCAATACAAACGTCAAGTCACTTCTATACGGATCAGAAACTTGGCGGGCGAGTTACAAGGAATATTTCCAACAGCCTGTTGCAGACCTTTATCAACAACTGTCTTCGCTCTATACTGAAGATCAGATGGCCGGGCCGGAAAAAATTACCAACAAGATACTATGGGAACAAACAAAACAAGAACCAATCGCCAACCAACAAATATGCAGGAGATGGAAAGTGGAGGTGGATTGGACACTCGCTGAGGAGGCTGCTGAGTGACATCGCGCGTCAGGCCACTGCTTGAGTGGAACCAGGCTGAAAGGGAAGCGTCCAGTGGGACGTCAGTGCAAGGGTGACATGGAGGAGATCGTGTGAAGAGGAGTTGAAAGAGTATGGACTAACATGGATGCAGGTGAAAAGTACAGCAGAAGGAAGACAGAAGCAAGTGGAGACGTGCAGTTGAAGCCCTGTGTTCCACTAAGAACCCAATGGAACAATAATAATGACAATAATAACAATAATATTATTAGGTAATGGTTATCTGTTTAGAACACGCTAAACCCTTGCCCTTCTCTGGTCGAGCTACAGAGTTAGGCATAGTTCAACCAAAACACGGCATAAATTTATGCAGCCCTTGACTGTTGGTCATGGTTGTGAGACATGGTCATTGAAAAAGCAGGAGATATTGAGAAGGGAGACGTTTCTTTCATCATAGTTGTCGGCGTTCTGACTTACGTGTTCAAATGGTATAATAGGGTGAGTATTGTTCAGGTTAGGCGTAGAGCGTTAGAGGTAACAAGGGGAAATCAATCAACGCAGTTGTGAAGTTACATAGATTGAGGTGGTTACAACATGTGTTACGCATGCTTGGCCATCGTCTTCCTCGACAACTGATCAGGTTGGAAACGAGCTAGTGGTGGTCAAACCAAGCCATGAAATCTTTGACAATTAGTTTGAGTCACGTAGGGAAGTGTAAACTGCCAGTGTGTTTGGATTCCTCGGGATGGTAAAAACCAATAACGGATGAAGACAATTGGTGATATGGCTAAAAATAGTTCCCGATGATGATGCAGATGCATCCAGTCTTTCTGATTTATAATATTCAATAAAATTCTATTTTTCTTCCATATTACTAAACTAACTATTATGGATTTCATGGGCTGATGAAGCCATGCTTTCGTTTGACCACCGCCAGCTCTTTTCTAACCTGTTCATATGTCAGCTTATATTGCTTATTGCAGAAGGTAGTGGGTAGAAATGCGTAACACATGTCCCAACCATCTCAATCGATGTAGCTTCACAGACTCGTCTATTGATTTCCCCACTTTACCTAGCACTCGACCGCTGCCTAACCTCAATATTGCTCATCCTATTATACCACCTAACATGGGAGATAGGATGCAGACACCTATGATCACAAACAGTTAGCCTTTTCATGTCTTCCACTTTCGATGACCGTATCTCATGGCCGTAAAGGAGGATGGGGCGGACTACTGAGCAGTACACACACCCCTTTGGTCGACAGCCAGCGGATATCAATGTCTACGCCGGTATATACGAAACTAGCCTGTATCCATGCTGAGATTTCGCCAGAGATCAACCTGTTGGCGTTGGCTGATGCAACTTCCCAAATAGGTGAAGTGGTCAACACGCTCAGCCACTTCACTTCCTATTTCTAAGCTAGGAGTCAGTGTAGTCCAATCCTGTAGGATCATCTTACAATCGGCGGGAGCGAATCACACGCCAAACATTCTCAGACTACAGTTCAAGGTGTTCAGAAGACACTGAATTGTGTCAACATTTTTACCTAGAAGCAGGACTATATCATCTGCATATTCTAAGTCAACAAGATTATTCCCTGGTGGTAAAAAGTCAATCCCTGCGTCTCTTAAGTGAGTTAGGGTTAAGTCCATTAGTACATCTTTGATAAAATTAAACAGAGTTGAGGAGAGTGGGCATCCCTGATATACAACACTGGTAGTCACCACTTCAGATGACAACTCTCCGTAGGCTCTCACATGGCTGCATGAGTTCGAGTAGAATGCCTCGATCAGTACACACAGACGTAGAGAGAAAAGGGATTCAAAATAACCGAAATGAGCAGAAATGTGAGAAGGAAAGAAAAGTAATATGGAAAACCATCCGGGTTATAACTGATATGGGAGATCACAAAAGGAATGAATGCATCTGCAAAACTGACAACGATTTTGAGCTATATGACCAACATCCTCCAGTCATTATATCTTAGCATCCTCAGGACCTTAATCAGGAAGTCTACACCTCCCTATATAGGTCAAAGTAACAGTCAAGGACTACATTTATTGATACCATGTTATGGTTTTAACTCCCCTAACTATTTTCCAACCAAATCCCGCATCAGCTAACATTGCTCAACAAGGAAGGCAATGGCTCGGAATACGCAACACATATCCTAGCCATCTTAATCGACGTAGCTTCACAACCTTATCGACTAACTGACCGTCTTTACCAGGCACGCCTAATCTGAATACTGTTCACCATATTATTCTATTTAACACAGATGGGATGTAAACACCTAGGACTGAAGACAGTTAACCTCTTCAGATCTTGTATTTTCATCACTGGTCTTGTCTAACAGTTGTCAGGAAGAACAAAGTGAACTGCTGTGTACTACACTTATCTTTTGATCGAGAACCGGATATTGAATGTCACTGTATGTCTTACTCTCTAGGGCATACAAGACACGAATGGAACAGTGACCAGCAAAAGAATAGCAAAGTATGTCCAAACCAAGTTCTGATATTTAAACATTAGGCATTTGGCACATAATGACCATTACAAGGAAAGAAAATTTATTTTTTCAAATGAATGATAAAAACGAAACAAAATTATTTTTATTGACGTTTCGCTACTTAATATGCTGCTCATTAAATGCTTTATTAAAGTAATATTAAACCGGAAGTCAAAAAGTCTCAGCTTACATGGTTCGATGTGTTCATCAAGCTATTATCATACTGGGGAACTAAAACTAAGTTAGTGTATAAAAGTTGTGAATTTGTAAATTCAGGTTACATGTTACTCTGATAAAGTTATCACAGCATAAAATGGCTATAAGTCACTGAAAACAACAATATCATCGTGTTTCCACTCATAAAAGAACAGTAATATATATCTCAGATCTAAAGGAATATTCATTCTTTTGCATTCCAAGAGGAACATAGGGCTTTCAGCCTAAGCTTTCAAGTTTCAGTAGCATCGGTGTTAGGTTGCTATCCTATCACCCAATCTTCTCTGTCTGAATTCAACATAGAACTCGGCACCGAAGTGCAGCAGTCCGAGTTGCCACGTTCCAAATAGCACACAAATGTAGACAAGAAGATGAGTGAAGAGAATCAATACAGTCTGACAAGTATAAGAGGGAAACAGAATGGGTAATGGTAGAAAGGAATATGAAAGATTACAGAGACTAAATATGCATCTGCGCTGGCCATTGACAACGATTTTGAGCCATGTCACCTATTGTCTCCAGCCATTGATTCCTAGAGTCCCGAAGGCCCCAACCCCGAAGTCTGCATCTCCCTACCTGACCGACTCAGTTTAACTGTCAAGGATTTCATGGATTGATGAGGCCATGTTTTGTTTGGCCACCACTTACTCTTTTCCAACCTGCACCTATATCAGCTTGTAATGCCCGTCGGGGGAGGCGATGGTTAGGTATGCGCACCAAGTGACCTAGCCATCTCAGTTTGTGTAACTTTATAGCCTCGTCGATTGATTTTCCCTCTTTGCCCAACACTCTACGCCTAACGTCAACATTACTTACCTTATTAAACCACCTAACGTGAGAAAGAGATCGCAGACATCTATGATCGAAAGCAGTCAACCTTTTCATGTCTTCAACGCGTATTGGCCATGTTTCAGAGCCATAGAGAAGGACGGAGCGAACTGATGAGCAGTACACACGTCCCTTGGTTGATAGCCGGATGTCACGCCTACGCCAGAGATGGCGTAAGTTAGCGAAAGCAGCTCGAGCTTTTTGGATCCGTGCTGATATTTCGTCGCCCAATCTTCCCTATTTACCGGGCTCACGTCAGGCTACGCGAGGTCCAGGAATGCATTGGCCCGGGGATAGAACCCCGAATCATATGCATGGTTTGTGGGTATTATGCCACATAACTACCAACACACCAGAGGAGTATATATATGATCTATTTAAAATTGTCACCGACGACCTCCAACCAGTTATGATCACCATCTAACAAACCATCTAAGTAGCGCATACAATTCGGATTAATAATCAAATAATCTGAAGATAGATACTATGCTTTAGTTTGATAATGGGATTCATCAGCCCACTGCAGAGGCTTACTTTACTCTAGACTATGAACCAGGATAGTAGTAATAGGATAAAACATCTCCTAACGGTATAATTCAAATTCACTAACAACATATCTAAGAAGTTTTCCTTAAAACATCTTTGTTACGGAACTCACCTCATCTCTGTGTAAACGGGACATATAATTCACAAACAGATTGATTTCATTATTCCATACATCACCTGCTCCACCACTGTTTTGACTTATCGTCCGAGTACCATTTAAACTAACTTGTTCATCTGCATCTGAGCATGGATGACTATGAGTAGAGTTTGTATCTCTAAGTGATGCATTTGAATATGTAGGAGTGGATATCACAGTATCTGGTTCCAAAGTTATACATAAAATCTGAAAGGAAAAAAACAAGTATCGATTTCATGAGAAGGAACAAAAGAACTATGATAATTTTCATCTAGCCCAACGCATAAACACACACACTTCACACATCAAGTAATTTAAGGAAAAAGCAATAAAGCACCTTTATGGAAATAAACCAATAAAGCCTTAAATAGCGAATTCACTTAGCTTACAAAAAGTAGCTAACCACACATTTCCACAGATGCAATATCATCACGAGCTGAAATCAGTTAGAGAACCACTGGAAAACCAAGGAGTACTGAACAGCTATTTCATTCTGGTTTGTGACACTTCATCAGTACACACGTGCCCCTTGGACCTTCCGCTTACAAGGCGAACTCGTATACCATTCAGTCAATGGGAGCCAATCCAATAGCCCGGCGGGGACCACCAAGTCAGACAAGAGAACAGCTACTTGTATATGGCACTGAGTGGCGGCGGTTGAACTTCAGATATCACCAATTGGCAGAAGTTGGAATTTATGGGCCATTGGATCGAGTCCCAGTGGCTGGATGCCCTACGAGTTCGCCTTGCAACCGGAAGTTCACGAGTTCGAACCCTTGTGGGTTCGTACCGTTGAAGAACTGCAAACTAGGACGAGACAGTTGTCTAGTACTCTCTAGTTTTCCAGTGGCTCTTTAAAATAAGGTGTCAGCTCCTGATCACACCTGTAAACAATAAAATCTTTGCAATCCGACACTTTGTAATCACTCAATTTCCCAGGTTGAAGTAGGTGCAATGAGATTCGGATCCTAAACTCACTAGCTGAAGATCGAGTGTTTCAGCTAACCAAACATACCTCTACACAAAAAAATTTACAGGACCTCAAAGAACTTCAAAAACTTCTAACCATAGTTTTACACATGATATAATATAAGGTTTAAACAGGTGGAATTTCATAATATTAGAACCAGTGAGAGAAAAAAATCGAGACTTAAAATGTCATATAGAATAATCTACCTAACATACAGTGAAAACACAATGAGTAGGGGAAACGAACACCAGACAGTACAAAGATATTCACCAAACGGTGTTAAATGATATGATGAACACAAATGAAATTGGGATGATACAAATAGAAAATTTGTCACTTAACACACTCTACACTGGTTGCTTATCCCCTTTTATGATACCAACCTATAAATGTCCACATAAGAATCTTCTTAGAGTTATAAATCAGCTACAATATTGCAAATTCATTTGCAAAATCATCTAATTAAATGAAATGCCAATAAACTAAAAAGTTTACTATTCACTGGTAAATACAGGCCTCTAAATCAACCATTTAAAGTTAGATGACTGACTGACTGACTGGTTACAACACAGAACTTTGCACTGATGTGCAGCAGTTTGAGTCGCCACACTTTAAGTCATATTCACCCTACCAGTTCATTTTTATCCAACTAATATGAAAGTATAGCAATAAACCTACGAAAGCTGACTAGTAGACAACACCAAGGCTTCATATCTCAATAATTGTAGCTAATTTAAAACTCAGTTACCCAGTACAGATTTTTCAAATGCCAGGCTGTGAGTCACACTTTACTGTGTGAAGGCTGACTATACTACACAGTTTGCCAAGGCTTAAGCAGTAATTCGAGGAGGCTTTGGAGGCCATGATCTAGCGGTTGGCTCAAGTGTGGAGAAATGATTAATTCAGCGGAGAGAGAGAGCAGTACACATGATGAGTCTACATGAATGCAAGTGTAAACTGTTCACTAAAAACATGTTAACATCGGTTTGAAGTTATGCGATAATCGCAGAGAGGAAAAAATGAAGCTTTTAGAAGAATTATCAAAATTGCAGATAGATGCCATTTGTAAGCGTACGTAGAGTATTTCACTTTACTCATCAAATATTCTTGCAATTTTATGATAAAACTTACTTCCATTTGAAACACTAGTGGTAGTTGCCTGTGGCTTGAATTAAAAACATAACCAAATAATCTACTTAGTTTCATTGAGAAGAAAGTACAAAATGCAACGTGAAAACTTATCGCCAGAGTATAAACAAGAGCTTTAAGTAATAACCTGTCTATACAGATATAGTTTGGCAAATAAGTCCCTGTAACATTAATAAGTTTACAATGCAGCTTGGTGGTATGGGTATTCGGAAACCAGTCATATCCAGCAACTAGATCCAAGTGATCTAAGCACTAGACACTTGTTTTGCTCGTTTGGGACAGAGCTCATCAATGGTGTAACCAGTTAGACTCAAATCAGAAGGCTGAATCACTTTTGTTTATAAGACTAAGCAGTATTGTATAAACTAATATCTTTGGTAATGATTGAAATGTCCACTAAACACGCATCAATTAACACAACATAATGTGACTTATGTACTAGGCCATTCGCTACAACTTAAGTGTGAGGGCTTATAATATCCATACACTATTTCAGATCGAAGTGTGTCAGAATTTGAAAATCGGACTAATCGGTTAAAACACACTTGAATACGTCAGTAATTCCACTTTTCCACCAGTCTAGGCAGATAAAATAGTAAGCTAACCAGCTGCTTCACAATCGTAAATTCAGTATATCAAAATAAAGCATTGAAACTCCCTGATGAATGAGGAAAAGTACTATGATACTAAACACCGACCATCAGCGATAGTGGTGGTTGATAATAAATTAGGGTGATTGTGCAGTTAGTAATGAACCACACCTATTAGTGTAGACGTTAGTGAAAGTAGGTGACAGCTCAAACCTGAGTAGGTGAATTGCCAATTGAATCTATTACCTAGTGGCTGATAATCGAGAGCTTAAGCTAATAAGCCAAAGTTCCACAAGTGAACACCAAAAAATGTGTGAGGATAGTGGAAGCATTTATTTGAAGGAAAATCCATCGATTACAAGACTTTCAAGGACAAAAAGCCAGTCATTTTCCAGACTTTAGTGACAATCCATTGTGCTATGACCCATTCACCCGATCACAACTTGACTCAGAGGCTTTCCAAAAAGTGTTGTATCTACTGAAGTTTTCTTCAAGACATACCAGCCAGTTCGTCCAAGCACCAACTCATCACTTGCACGGAAGTGGGTTCAAATTGCCTCATGATTTAAGTGCAGACTGAAAATGGAATTGTGATTACCGAACACTGCCATAAGATGGAAAATATATTATTTCATAATTACTACCTAGGCAACAACTTGCGTTCAAACTAGCTAAGTTACTGTAAAAAAAATACACAGCAACTTTAGTGGAATTATGCGTAGAATGATTAGTAACCATAAAGTAGAGAGTCATGTACAAGTGTAAGATTTACGTACCTGTAGAGCCACTTCAACTAAAGGTTCACGTGAATCTGAAAACATTAGGTGATTGTAAGGTAATCCTGAACCAACTGGATCATATGCACAAACAACATTCAACAAAGACGTAAACAATGGTAATGCATGTCTGTTGGCTGTACTTGTAAAAAATGTCACCCATTTATTTTCGATTCGATGCGCTTCTTCTTGTTCCAAATACATTGTCTCAGAGAAACAGGTCAAAATAAGTTTCAGAATTTCTGTTCGATTAGAATCATGGACAGCGTTTGCTGCTGGGGTTTGTGCAAACCCTACACCGGATTGCCAGATATACTCACAACTGTCAATGGTATGCATATCTTCTGGGCCATCCTAAAGGAACAAACAGAAATGACAGAATTATGGCAGCAAATCCAAATAAATTATAAGATGAATTAACTTGAAAAATATTTCTATATTATCATGTAGTGAAAAATACTAACCTATAAAGTTGTCAACTTCTGGATATATGACTGACTTCATACACCTCACCGGTGGGGCACAACTTTCGTGCCTTCATCACAAAACCACTTTATAACTCCGTTTTACTTCATGAAGGGATATCATGACACTCAGTTAATTTAAAGAATAGAAAATATTTGTAGTTATACAGGGAATCAATCAATGTTAACTTCGGTTTTAGAAAAACATCTCTTATACGTATTCTTCAGTGTAAATGATATGAAGGATTCACACTTCCTGTCAACGTGTCAAGTGAAGTGGTAGAGCACGTTGACCGCTTCACTTATTTGGGAAGTACAATCAGCCCCAACGGGTTGATCGCTGACAAGATCTCCGCACGGATACAGAGGGCTAGTTTCGCATATGCCAGTTTACGCCGGCTCTGGCTTAGTAGACGTCATATCCGCTGGTTGTCGACCAAAGGGCGGCTGTAGTGCTCAGCAGTCCGCTCCGTCCTCCTTTATGGCTATGAGACCTGGCCATTGACAGTGGGATACATGAAAAGATTAGCTGTCTGATCATAGGTGCCTGCGCTCTATCTCTCGTATGAAGTGGTATTATAAGATGAGCAATATTGAGGTTAAACATCGGTCTAGTGCTAGGTAGGTGGAAGGGGAAATCAATCGATGAGGCTGTGAAATTACATCGACTGAGATGGTTAGGACATGTGTTACGTATGCCTAGTCATCGCCTTCCACAACAATGGGCTATGTTAGCTGATATAGGGTTAGGCTGGAAAAGAGCTCGTGGCGGTCAAACCAAAACATGGCACCAGTCAATGAAATCTACAACAGTTAGTTTAAGCCACTTAGGAATTTGTAGACTTCCGGGTTGGGGTCCTCGGGACGGTAAAAACAAATGGCTGGAAACAATTAGTGATATGGCTCAAAATCGTTCTCAATGGCCGGCGCAGATGCATCCACTCCCTGTGACTTATGATTTCCAATGAAACTGTTTTGTTCTTCGTTATTACTATTCCTTCGTCTTACACCTCTGTTTACTGTCTCTATTATGCATTTCTACTTTCCTCTGTTGCCTTGTGTGCTACATGGAGTGTGGCGACTTGAACTGTCGCACATCGGTGCAAAGTTCTACGTCGAAAGCAGACAGATAGACAATTTCTTGTCTGATTAAAACTCTCTCTGCTCCAGTGAGTAACCCTGTAGTCTTTCTCAGCATATTTCTCCCCAAGATAAGCCTAATGAATTATAATAAAATTTCTAAGCATTAGTCCCACTTTACAATACTACTTATCTACTATTAGTACTTTCAGCTCTTTTATGCTAGAAGCCTTAAATTTATTTTTAATCTCCACACTCCTTACCATAGTTGGAGATAAATCTCGATGGGAACAACCTGAATACAGTGGACAGGTGAATTGTATCGTGAGATTATATGAAGCATAGACAAACATAAAGTTGAGAAAAGTAACACTGAAGTACAAACCAATATTTTGCAAGAATAAAATTACTGAGTCAGGAATTACTGAAGTGGTGACTAGTTACTAATCATCTATCTACTATCCCTATCAATAGCTTCTAATTTGACATAGTTGTCGGTTTCACATATGAGCTATGTTGGCTGGATGGGAAGAATCTGGAACTGATGTATCAGAAAGGTCGGTTGGGTAGCGGCTAGACGCAAAACAGTTGCCATTACAATGAAAACATTATATTAAGGTAAGCGTCTGGCGACAGAGTTGAGGTGCCTGTCAGGTAGGAATTGATCACAAGCCACTTTAATAGCCTGACGTTATTCCGTCTGCCACCTACCCTCATCCACAGACAATTGCTTCACCGTCTTTCACCTCTTTCACCATTGCAAACAACACAGGCAAGAGAAACACTGCTCCCAGTCTCCTGAAACCAAACCACCGATGCCATGTCAAAGTCATCAAAGTCATAACTTATGCTAAAAACTAAAACTGGCATTTTAGACTTAACGATGAAAAAAACGAAATCAGAAAGAAGTGTAGTAAATTTACGATGGATGAGTATGTGTGATTGGGAGAACAATACATAGTTTTGAGCACTTTAAATAATAATGAACGAATGCACCTGTAACAAAACGGCTATGACTATACGGAGGAAGCAGCGGATACAAAGACCATAGAGCAAAACAGCTCGCTTCTCAGATTTTTAAATAAAATCAATCATACAAGATGTATACTACAAAGACCTTTATTCCTAGACTCCTATCCCAAATCCCTATCAAAAGTAACAAAATAACTTGGAAACCTTCACACCAGAACTACCCTGCTTAACACAACTCTCGATGTAGAACATTACCAAAATACTTTTTGCCTGAAATATATTCTGTCTGTCTGGATTCAACATAGAACTTGGCACCGAAGTGCAGCAGTCCGAGTTGCCACGTTCCAAATAGCACACAAATGTAGACAAGAAGATGAGTGAAGAGAATCAATAGTCTGACAAGTATAAGAGGGAAACAGAATGGGTAATGGTAGAAAGGAATATGAAAGATTACAGAGACTGAATATGCATCTGCGCTGACCATTGACAACGATTTTGAGCCATGTCACCTATTGTCTCCAGCCATTGATTCCTAGAGTCCCGAAGGCCCCAACCCCGAAGTCCGCATCTCCCTACCTGACCGACTCAGTTTAACTGTCAAGGATTTCATGGATTGATGAGGCCATGTTTTGTTTGGCCACCACTTACTCTTTTCCAACCTGCACCTATATCAGCTTGTAATGCCCGTCGGGGGAGGTGATAGTTAGGTATGCGCAGCACGTGACCGAGCCATCTCAATCTGTGTAACTTTATAGCCTCGTCGATTGATTTTCCCTCTTTGCCCAACACTCTACGCCTAACGTCAACATTACTTACCTTATTAAACCACCTAACGCGAGAAAGAGATCGCAGACATCTATGATCGAAAGCAGTCAACCTTTTCATGTCTTCAACGCGTATTGGCCATGTTTCAGAGCCATAGAGAAGGACGGAGCGAACTGATGAGCAGTACACACGTCCCTTGGTTGATAGCCGGATGTTACGCCTACGTCAGAGATGGCGTAAGTTAGCGAAAGCAGCTCGAGCTTTTCGGATCCGTGCTGATATTTCGTCACCAATCAGTTTGTTGGTGCTGATATAACTTTCCAAATAGGTGAAGTGGTCAACATGTTTATATCACTTCACTCCCTATCACTAAGCTAGGAGTTGACGTAGTCCAGTCCTGTAGCAGCATCTTACATTTTGCAGGGGCGAATCGGATGCCAAACATACGAAGATTGCTGCTCAAGGTGTTCAGAAGACTCTGCGTTTTGTCAGCATCCTCCCCTAACAGGACTATGTCATCTGCATATTCTAAGTCCATAAGACTATACCCTGGTAACAAGTCGATTCCTAAGCCGTTACGTTCAGTTAAGGATACTTCCATCAGCATATCTATGATGAAGTTAAACAGAAATGGGGAAAGTGGACATCCCTGTCGGACACCACTGGTTGTTACCAATTCAGATGACAATTCCCCACAAGCCCTTACACGGCTACATGAGTTTGAATAGAGTGCCTTGATCAGTGCAATGTACTTTCTTGGCACTCCCTTCACAGTCAGACATTGCCATAGTACCTTTCGATCCACGGAGTCAAAGGCCGCCTTCAAGTCAAGAAATATGGCAATTGTTGGAATATATTCATAATATAATATATGAAATATATTCAACGTTCAGTCGTAGACTGGGCACGCATGAATTCATTAAGGAGTAAGAAGACAATTAAAATCTCGAAGTCATAACAGCCTTTAAACTATTTATTGAAATCCATGAACGTTATTGATTAATGTCCAGTTTAATATAAATAATAAAAATAATTCTTAAGCACTTAGACCGAGGTTAAATACTTTTTACCGATGCATATAACCCAGACTTCAAAGGATGATACACTGGGCTAGTTGTACAACTAAAATATATCCGGTGTTATTAAACCTCTTAACAACAATGTTCGGAGGTAATATCCCACAACCTTGATGGGTTAAGATGCCACTTAGGTTACGGCATTTATTGATGGATAACCATTATATTTCAAAATGTAGGTCACACAGCATAGGTTTAAAACTGACAAACCTCACTGAGAAGTCAATGGAGAAACAACAACTCATTATTACTCTAAAGTCGTTATTCCCAGTGCTCATCGAGAACTTGAAAGTGCCATGCAATTAGGCGTAAGAATCACGCACACAGGCATGAAAAAACCTTGAAACCGTTCCCTACTACTGTAGAAACTGTTAATTAGGAGTCACAATTCACCTTCTTAAAGCATCATAGAATGAATAAATTTAAAACTGAGTGACACGAATATAATAAACTTACAGGCCCAGTTTTAGATATGGAATTCACCGTAAAATCTGGGCAGAACAGTAAATCCTAAAGGAAACCATTAGTTCAAGTTACACTACTTACACAAAGTGCTGACAGTAAGCTTTGAGCTAAAGGTACAAATTCGCCCTATTTGAATAAATTCAAAGTTAAAACCACAACATACTTCTCTAACCGAAGAAGGATCAGCTGGAAGTGGTGACCAGAAAAACGATCGCCACTCAATATCTTCGAATATGTACGGTAATAATCTAGTCAGTAATCTGGTACAGTTAAGAACTACACAAAATAAACGAGGTGAAAAACTACAAACCCGTAAGCTGATCCTTTGATGTTAGTGATGCCGACTCAGCGACCTGTGAGATCCGCTCAACAGCCTTATAACAGAGAGTTGCCAGGTTATTAGGAGCCTCTGTTCTTAGAGCTCGGATTTCAGCTGCGGGAATAAGGGCGAAAATATCTTGGATTGACATGGGATACTCAGTCCAGAATTGGTCCCAGAAGTTATTATCATTAGAATCCACTGGCTAGGCAATGGTAAAAAAACAGTAATAAGAATACCTGAGTCTTTGTAGTGAGTTGTATGACAGCATTACGATAACCAAGCTTAGAATTATCGCCTCCCATCAAAGTGCCGAAAACTTTACAGATCGCGCTTCCCTACACACCTTGAATAACTGCTTATAGACGGCTTGTCCGTCACATCCAAGGTCAGGTACTATTTGGGAGGATTCCAAGTAAGCTACATAGGGCTCATTCAAATGGATAGTTTTTGAGGGAGAAGTGGATAGTATAACTCTTAAGAGGGAGCTAGCGGCATCCTAAAATATCATAAGAAAACTGGAAATAGGAGATATTCTATAAGTACATCCTCACAAGAGTTCGCACAAAAAGATATTCGTGATGTCATCAAAAGAACGCCCTCAAGTCTTAAAGAAACTTCTACAGAGAAGATAAGGATCGTTCGTGCACATTAGGTGAGTGGAAACTAAAAATAGTGACAAAATATATCAATGATAGTAATGCGAAAAGCACAATAATAGTGATGTTATTGGCGTTAGAGTTTAATGAAGAGAAACCTTAGGCCCTGTTTCACCCAAGAATTGAACTTTTTTAAGGTCAGATAAGTATATCTCGATAGTGCAATATTTTGTTGATTAACTATTATTTTTATTTTTTTATTTTTTGATTACAGCTTGATTCCACACTGTATTTTTGGTACAAGTATGGAACTTTCACCATGGATATCGGTAGCTCAAATTTTGCAGGCCGACCATAGATATCAGGTGTGCGTCGACAGGGGATCGAACCTCGGACCATGTGCATGGTTAGCGAGAGTCCTAACCACTGTGCCACAGACGCACAAAGTGCTCACTTCGCCTGGAAATGCATTTCAGCAGCCGCAGGTAAAAAATAAGAAAAGATGTTCGTGTTTAACCTTCTATTGGTAGGTGCGTTATTCTGACAAGCGTCCAGTAGTCACCCAAAGATACGTGTAGGGTATCTTGAACCTTTGAATTCTTGTTTCAACGCATCCACCCACTCTTGGCGCGACTCCATCTTGTGTTTTCCTACGTGACTGTACATACGTAGTTCGCTCCCTTGTTGTGCTACCATTCAGCGCACTCTCCGACCTTACTACCCAGTCGAGGCATCAGTTAAGTTGTATAACATCCTTATTCATTGAAATTGATATTTCACTTGTGTAAAGTACTACTCTTCGGGACACACTTCCAGTCTAAAGTCTTTTTACTGTGATCTCGTTAGTCAGTACTTACCAACTAGGTGGAGTACCGATTAGGTTATTAAGCGTTGAAGTATTCAGTAAGTGAGGTTATTTGATAATAATAATTTATTTTTATATAAACATAAATTTACATGAAAATGCATGCCATTTTTACAGGCACGATCAAGTATGTTATAATGTCAAATCTTAAATTGTCTACAAGTTAATAATCTTTCAACAGTTAAATATTTGATACATATATATAATTACACTCATTGTCTGAACCACGCCGTTTAGTTATTGAATTGTACAGTTGTCCTCCAGGTTGAGCGGGAAAATCGACTTCGTTTCGTTGTCATCCCGTGGTTGTAGGCATACGATAACCAACCAATATTGAGGTAAGTACAGCGTTTACAAGGGATTGGAAGCTGTTTTAGAAAAGTTAAAGTGCTAAGGTGAAACATTAAGGCGTAATAGATTAAGTGAGTGAAATATATCATTAATAAACACATTTATATAGAAAACAGAATGGGGAAGTAATTAATCCTTCGGCCGACAACGTTCATTTGCAATGTATAATAAAACCAATATATTTTGTACTATCATGATGTCCACTTTTGGCTTTAATACAACTATATTCAAGCCAGTTGCTTTTATTTCGTGCCTTCTCGTCTATTTGGTGAACAACCGTACCCTACAGAGAATGGGAATAGAATAAGTCAAATCAAATTCATAATGAGGATCGAGTAAAGACGTTATTAGAAAATGAATGAGATAAGACATTGTGAAGTGGTATGTAAAGATTCGACAATGGATAGCAGGTTAATTCATAAGATGCCCCATAAATCTGTACAGATCCCACGTGGTTGCATCTCAACAGTAGGCTTGGCGAATGGTATATATTTAAAGGCAGAAGCATGATCTGTCAAGGCGTTCATTATTATCTTTTTCAAGATAAAGATCTAAGCCCTCATAAAAATCAGAAATATCTCGAGCCTTCAAATTGTATATTGCTGTTCCTGCAGAATGGGGCGATTCACCTTAGTGACCACCACCATATCTGTTGAGTACGTAACAATGTGATTGTACACTTTTTAGGTACTTGTATAAATTCGAGATATTGTACATAATTTTTGTTTAAATCGCTTCTTGTTGAAATATACATAATTTCCGTGTACAATTGAAAAATACACTCTGCTGTTGGAGACTTCGTCTTCTCCCTGGTCACTTCTACTTACTTGCTCCACTCACACCGTGTTGTATACTTCGGATTTATTGTAGGAGCCTACTACTTTCAACCGAAGACATTTCTACAACCGGAACACAGCAGCTACAGCAGACGCAGTCCAAACAGTTAACGTGCCTGTGGATTATATAATTAATTTGTAGCCGAGGACTTACACTTTATAACCAAGTAATCCTTTTTGTTGCTATAACTCGTCACTGTATTTTTGGTAATATATTGTGATTTAACACTCCACTGACTTGGATTATTACTTTTATACTTGGAATGTTAGTGAACTCTAATATTAGTCCCCTACAAATTAATTGGTGAGCCCGATAAGAACACGGATTATTTTGGCATATTTATATTCTTATTTTTGCTATTTTTATATTCATTGTGATTTTGTGTGTGGTTTATATTTGTATCCTAATTTGCACCAATAACCTCATATTATAATGTCATCACCTCAGTCCGGTACATCAAACGAGCAGACAACTAATAGCGAGACAAATGCCACAATAAATGCCATCACTGATTTTCGTTTACCCCAATACGGTTTCGCAGAACCAAGGATTTGGTTTGCGGTAATTGAACCGTTGCTAGAAGCACGGGGCATTAAGTCCCAAATAGCCAAATATGGTATGGTGCTGGCAGAACTCCCTCCGTCAGTATTGACAGAAATCAGCGATTTCATCGAAGATCCTCCGACGGAACATCAATTTGATAAACTTAAAGCCCTCCTCATACAACGTACCAGTTTGTCGGATGAGAAAAGAATCCAACAATTGCTCACAGGCTGTGAACTAGGCCCACGTAAACCATCCCAGCTGCTCAGGCACATGCGCCAGTTAATCGGACACCATAAAGTAGACGAGGTAGTGCTGAAACAGATGTGGTTGCAACGTTTACCTAGAAATGTCCAGCAAATTTTAATCATCTCAGGAAAGTCGTATGACTTAGACCAACTAAGTGACATGGCAGATAGTATTTTGGATGTTTTATCCGATAACACCATAAGTCACGTAGCATCTGATAGTGCCACACCGTGTCATTCCACACCCACGGCAGACACACCGATACTCGCCGCCATTGCAGACTTAGCGGCAAGGATTGACAATTTGGAAACTAATAAGTCTGATCGACAAGTCCGGAGACGGAGTTCACAAAGAAGGTCACCATCACGACGACGATCCTTCTCACGACAGCGTTCTTACACGTCTTCTCGGGATAGCAATATATGCTGGTATCACTGGAAGTTTGGACGTCATGCCCTGAAATGTGTAAAACCGTGCAGCTTTAGCGAAGCCAACCAGGCTCAGGGAAACGCCTCAGCCAGACAGTGATGGCGACAGCTGTTACTGGCAAGCAAACAAGTCGCCTCTTCTATGTGAAGGATAAAACTTCAGACACTTTATTCCTGGTAGACACGGGAGCAGAAGTTAGCGTAATCCCTCCTTCACTATCCAGGCGATCTACACGGACACCCGGAAAACTGTCTCTCCGGGCAGCTAACCACACAAGCATACAGACGTATGGAGAGCAATCCCTCATACTGGATCTAGGTTTACGTCGGCGTTTCACATGGATTTTCATAGTAGCCGACGTCAGTCACGCCATCCTCGGAGCAGATTTCTTGAGTAATTTCAACCTGTTAGTTGACGTCAACAATAAAAAACTGATTGATAACAACACCCATCTAAAGATCCATGGAATTATCTCCAGCTATTCTGTCTATAATATCAGTATTGAAAGACCAGCAGATTGCCCTTTTTCCTCCCTACTTCACCGTTTCCCTAAAATTCTTAAGCCGTCGTACAACATCGAGGACGTCCCTCACACAGTTACTCACAAGATAGTTACTACGGGTCAACCAGTTCGTGCTCGTCCCGTAGATTACCCCCGGACAAATTGGCAGCAGCCAAGGCAGAATTTGAACACATGATGCAGCTCGGCATCATCAGACCCTCCAATAGTCCTTGGTCTTCGCCCTTACACATGGTGCCTAAAGCTGATCATGATTGGAGGCCATGTGGGGATTACCGACATTTAAACAATGCCACAGTTCCCGACCGTTATCCTATTCCTCATCTTCATGATTTCTCCCTGACATTACACGGAAAAACCATTTTTTCTAAAGTAGACTTGGTCAGGGCCTATCACCAAATACCAGTTGCCCAAGAGGATATCGAAAAAACGGCCATCATCACACCTTTCGGTTTGTTTGAATTTCTCCGCATGCCATTTGGCCTAAAGAACGCAGCACAATCCTTCCAACGTTTCATGGATCAGGTCACACAAGGTTTGGACTTTGTATTTGTATATATCGATGACGTTTTAATTGCTAGCTCGTCGCCCGAAGAACATACTGATCACCTCACCATCTTATTTCAACGATTTGAGCAATATGGAGTCGTCATTAACCCCAAAAAGTGCATATTCGGTGTCTCCTCTATACAGTTTCTGGGACACCACATAACCACGAATGGTATTACGCCTACGGAGGAAAAGATAGAGTCCATCAAAAACTTCCCCGAACCAGATTCACTCAAGAAGGTCAGACGTTTTTTGGGGATGTTTAATTTCTATCGGCGTTTCATTCCTTCGTGTGCCTCCATCGTCCAGCCGTTAACCGACCTCCTTAAAAATGATCCTAAAAAGTTTCAGTGGTCAGCTGAAGCACGCGAATCATTTTGCAACGCAAAAGATGCCTTATCCAGAGTC